GTATAAACATGAAATAGATTTTAATATAAATTAAGCCTATACTGTAGGTAGGCTATTTATCTTTTAATGCAGTCATCTCGGTTTTTATTTGAAGCGTATTTTTATCCTTCGCTTGTTTGTAACAATTGCAAAGACATTGGCAACTTTGTACTTATAGTCAACTTCGTTGTGAAGTTATCGGGGCTCACAGAGAGGCATATAAACATATTCATTCTATGTTTAGTGGAGATGTGTATAACGTGAAGCAGTAGGGAAAAAAACTCATCTAACGACGCACTTAGCTGTTCTACGAGTGGTCTGAGGCAGTCGGTAAATAACGAGTGTTTTCAAGTGCAACTTTAGTAAGGATGGTTTTGGGAAACAGCTCGGAGATTTAACGATGCTCCTCCGAAGGTTCTAACGATTAACTTAGCTTTAAGGCTAGAAGGGATCCAGCGTTTGTCAAATTAACGTCAGGTAGGATAACTTACGCAGCAGGTTAATAACGTAATTGTCCTAACCTGCTAGTTAAGGTTAGGAAAGGGTTAGGCTTAGATAAAAAAAAATACATCAAAAAACTTAGGACGTACAATTGGCAAAAGCTGGATCCATCTAGCCATGACCTTAAGACGCTTTTGGGAAACCGGGCCCTGAATGTTCCATATAGAAATAGAATGAATAGAGCCAACACGATTCCCTATTTCTATCTGCCAGAATCATTTGCGCTCTACACAATTAATTTCCACCTGAACGTTCCGTTTCATCATCCTTAGTTACTCTCCTAGCATTAGTCATAATAAAAGAGTGCATTAGGGCAGTTTCCCAACCTCGGTCCTCGAGTACCCCCAAGAGCACACATTTATTTTGTAGCACCAGACAAAAACACCTAATTCAACTTGTCAAGGTATGCTTGTCCAGGGCCACAACAAAAATATGTAGCCTACTTTTGGGCGTACTCGATGACCGGAGTTGGGAAACTGCATTGGGGGACAGATAGGCAAGGCTACTTACAGGAGCGAGAGAGCGAGCGTTAGCATCCAGTAGGCTATATTAGTTGTGTCACATGGACCTACATTTAAGAATCAGCATGGGAGTTCGTTGTTATTCAACATCGGTCAGATTACATATGGTTTTACAAATGTCTTGCATATGACATAATTTAAGGCAGTCAGGACTATAGTAGATATTTCTTATTTCGCAATGGACTGTTAGTGTTCTGCCATAGATTTATCTGACCATTTACTCAAGTCTGTTTAACTGTTTAGGTGAAAGATTGAAGGTTTAGACCGTCGTAAAGATAATAATAAGAGCCTATAATTTGGGCCACAGCTGCGCCTGGTAGCTATTGGAGACAACTTGCCTGGCTACCTATCCATCCACATCGCTCCCGCCAACTAGCAATCGATAGAGCAGCGCAATTAAATGCAGGGTCGTCAGGCAAGGCGAGGACGAGATGCGTGAGGGTGTTGGTCTCAAGACCCGACAATTCTCAATTTGATCCTCACATATCAGAAGGAGCAAGCTAGCAATGCGTTCTCCTGAAATATCTCAATTATCAAATAAGCACCACTCTACTGCAAGCCCTTCTGGCTGGCATAAATAAGAAAATAGGGTAATAGCAGTAGTGGCAAATTGTAGCTAGAAATCAAGGTTGCAGCAGGCTACTTCAACTAGCCTACGATGGTAGGCTATTGTTTGGTGGGATAATATGTTGTTATTCTGTCGCCAATTGTGGAAAGAGCAGATCCTAGCTGATAACCACAGCTTGAAAGGCTTCCTTCGAACGTGGTATCCCACAGCAGTGCACGCGACCGGTCAAACAATGCCCCCAACGGACGGCGAGCCATAGGCTAACTCAGTTGGTAATGGGGATGGATCATGTCTCGTATATGCCCCCTGCTTTGAGCACAACACAAGCCGCGGCAGCAGCTCGCATGACTAGCCTACTGTATTTTCCTTCAACTACCGTTCCAGCCTCCCATCCCTTCAACCACAGTCACTCGTATTGCACGGATTACAACAGTGGCATCTGCAGCGAGGTCCCTAATGCGATTGAGGCGGTGTTGTTTTCCTGTTACCTGAACAGAGCTCTCCCTTGGGCGACGTGTTCTCTCTGTTCCTCCGGGGATCCAGCGGGTCGGGTCTCGCAGTCCCGGCCGGGGCTGCTGTGATTCCTCCTCGGTCCTGCCTGAGCGACGCACCCCCTCTGATCCGCTTGGAATCTCGCTCTCCCCTCTCACGCCAGGGAGGAGCTTACGAGGAGCTGCGGACTGAGCATGTGCGGTGTCGGTGTTGACTCCAAACGCACACTTAAAAACCCTACTGATTTCATCCGTGCCATTAAGATGCAATTATTCCGGTGGCTGAGGGATCCTTTGAACCCTCCATCATATTGTCTCGGGTGCTCCAAATGCAAATCTTATTACGCGGGCTAATTACGTCATGGTCTGCTCAGACTTTAAAAACATTATGCGCAAAATGTCTTCAATAGGCTATTAATGTTATCTGATATATGCAATGGATGAGTATTGATAAGAAATCAAATCGCTGAATTGAAAAATTGTTGCCTGCACTCTGCCCCACTCGCGTGGCCAAGATGTGCAACAGATAAGTATACTGTGTAAGAAGAATAACCCATGGACTGGAATAAACCCATAGAACAATGGACCGGAATAAACCCATAGAGCAATGGACCAGGCGTGCGTCCCAAATAGCACTCCTTTCTCCCGAAGAGTATACTTGTTCACTTTCCTTCATCGACTTGGAAGGAAATGACTGGTATATGGAAACTACCTCTAGCCCATGCCAACACCAATTAAATGCTTATACATTTGTGGGGAGTAGTGAATGAGAGCACACTTCAGGAGGAAAGAGACTATAAAAGGACGCATCCCGACCATAGGCTTCTTGTCCAGAGTTAGGCTATACACCATATTGCACACACAGGGGATTCGAAGGGGGTATTGCAGCAGGGGGTATTTCAGTTCACAAAGCATGGTTAATGAGTTACCAATAACTTTCCTCAATCTTTTCAAAGGACTCCATTTGCCAAATGCCTAAATAAAGAAACTTGAAATGAGCATGGCACAATTTACTTAATTCGCTCACCCACCAGGCCATACTCAACATCAGCATTCTTTACAAACTAGCTGTGACCGCGGCAGAGATTCAGCACCACTCAAGAGGACAGCAACAGAATAGGAATTCAGAAGTTTAGTGCCACACAGCAATGGACAGCGACCCATATGCTAGAAAATTAAGTTATCACCACGTTTTTTCTGCTCTGGGAAGTAGCCCAGGGTCGAAGACAACTTGATTTGACGTTCATGTTTTTTTTAATAAGGTGCTGTTTATTTCATCATCTCATTAACATATTTATGTAGACTCCTTTAGCTCTGTACTGTAGTAGTTACCATCAGAGCCATGTAGAGAGATAAGGTTATACAGTATTTGGACATTGACACTGTTTTAGCTCTGTACTCCAGCACGTGAAATGAAACGATGACTATGAGGTTAAAGTGCAGACTGTCAGCTTTAATTTGAGGGTATTTTCATCCATATTGGGTGAACCGTTTCGAAATTACAGCACTTTTTGTACATAGTCACCCCATTTAAGGGAACCAAAAGTATTTGGACAAATACATTTGCCGCTTTCTCACTCATTCACGATTCATTCATGATTATCTGCATCCACATGAATGTAGAAGTGTTTAGAAACATTCTATTCACAAAAAAAGTGACTCAAATGACACAATACATTATTTACCATTCATTTCTATTGGGTACAATATAATCTGAAACACAACCAAAACAAACTGCAAATGCATCCAACAAGTTTGTAGTCACAAGCTTGATGTAGTCATTGCGTGCCAAATATGGGACCAAATACTATACTTTCATGTAATTTCTAAATGGTTCACCCGATATGGATGAAAATACCCTCAAATTAACACGGACAGTCTGCATTTTAAAATCAGTCAAAACAGAAAAAGTGTGTCAGTGTCTCTTGTGAAAACAGTGAACAATGTGTGTGAACATTTCTGAAATATAATATATACTGTGGAGCCAGTTTCCCTGACTCAGATTAAGCCTAGTTCTGGACTAAAGTGCACTTTCAATGAAGATTCTCCATTGAGAATATTTGTTTAAAAAAAATCTAGGACTAGTGTTAGTCTGGGTCTGGGAAACCAGCCCAGAATGTCCAGGAACAGCGTCACATCTGTTGTCTTAATGCCATGTTCAAATGCTAGTCGCGGCACATGTATAACTACAACCAGTTAGCAAGTCGGAAAGTTCAGAGTTTCCTAGTTCCGACTAGCACGTGAATGCAGCATTAATGCTTTGTTCGTCACCACCAGTGGTCACAAAAGAACATGGCCGACAGCTTGGCTCCGACAGTTGCCAGAGGACAGCTCGTTCTGTTGAAGAGGTCCGGCGACTAGTGTTGGCCAGGCACAAAACTTGGACTGTAGATATGGAGGAAAATGGACCTCCTACAGTTCTTCCTTCCATGTCGTTAGAGACCTAACAACAACCATCGTCACTCCAATGGTGATGGGGTGTCCATGGATGGGGCCGGGGAGGGTGTGTGGTCTGCATGGTGGTTGGTCGACAGGAAGGCGGACGCCATATTAACAGACCTTCACCATCCACGTCCCGTCTACAGACAAGGAAATGCCTCCTAGACAAAAACGATGACTGAAAACTCAGTGGGTGTGGACTCAAACTCATTTCTTTCTTGCCCTTTCATTTCCCCCACACAAACTCCTCCTTTTATACATTTCTGTAACTCTGTCATAAATTAAGTCTTTATTTCCCCATGTGACAGATCATTTATCAAAGGAAAGGTCAGCTTGGAAATATTCTTATTGTCCATCAGGCTTGAACCCCCACGATCCAAAGATGTGTTTTTTTTCTACGAGGGTCGGGCCTGGAAATATCCTATTGTCCATCAGGCCTGAAGAACCTCCGAAGTCATCACCGTTACACGTCATCACCGCAGTTACACGTCATCACCGCCGTTACGCCATGTAGATGAAGGTGTTGAGATCAGTCTCGTCGCGCTTGATGTACTTGTGCTCGATGAGCCACTCCATCTGCTCCTTGATCATCTTCTTCTGGGGCAGGAACATGTTTTTGAGGATCTCTACCAGCTCTGTCTGCAGCTGGGCGTTGGTGATCCGCTTGCGCATCTTCATGATCTGGATGATGGCCTCCTGGAAAGGGAGAGACCAGGAGAAGAGAGAGAGGGTGAATCTCAATTGTGCTGTATTTCCTTGATTCCTTGCATCCTCGCCTCCTTCTCAAAATGCATTGGAGGAGAAGAGCCAAGGGGAGAAACCGCAGATCTTCTGCCTCATTGTGCTTTGAGAAAGAGAGGAGGGAGGGAGGATGTGAGAAATCAAAAAGATCTTATTTGCAATAATGACCTTTCAATGCGAAGCCCTTATACAGTACCTGTGTTCTCAATATCCTGAGCTGGACGATTCCCTCGTTCTCCTCCTCCCTCATTCGCTCTGTGGTGAGCTGAAGCCGGCCAATTAGGTTGATCTTCCCCCTTTTTTGGACCTTGGAGTTTTTTCTGGACACACACACACACTATTTAGAGGTGGTACTAGTGGGTCTTTTTTGTGCCACTTACAAGATACAGGACAACCTTTAGAAATTCAACCTGTAAGATACAGCGCCTTCAGAAAGTATTCACACCCCTTGACTTTTTCCACATTTTGTTGTGTTACAGACAGAATTTAAAAATGATAACATTTAGATTGTGTGTCACTGGCCTACACATAATACCCAATAATGTCAAAGTGGAATTATGTTTTTAGAAATATGTATTGAGTCAATAAGTATTCAACCCCTTTGTTATGGCAAACCTAAATAAGTTCAGGAGTAAAATTGTGCTTAACAAGTCACATAATAACTTGCATGGACTCACTGTGTGGAATAATAGTGTTTATCATGATTTTTCAATGACTACCTCATCTCTGTACCCCACACATACAATTATCTGTAAGGTCCCTCAGTCGAGCAGTGAATTTTAAACACAGATTCAACCACAAAGACCAGGGACGTTTTCCAATGCCTCGCAAAGGGCACCTATTGGTAGATAGGTAAAAATAAAAAAGCAGACATTGAATATCCCTTTGAGCATGGTGAAGTTATTAATTACACTTTGGATGGTGTATCAATACACCCAGTCACTAGAAAGATACAGGCGTCCTTCCTAACTCAGTTGCTAGAGAGGAAGGAAACCGCTCAGTGATTTCACCATGACACACAAACATAAACCTGTGCTTTATAAAGGGTGGCATAAGAACTGCTTAATAAATGGCCTTATAAATCATTTGTTAGATACTACAGGACTGTTGGAGCTAGGAACACAAGCATTTCGCTACACCCGCAATAACATCTGCTAAATATGTGTATGTGACCAATACAATTTGATGAGGCCAATGGTGACTTTAATGGCTGTGATAGAAAACAGAGGATGGATTAAAAAAACATTGTAGTTACTCCACAATACTAACCTAAATGAAGAGTGAAAAGAAGGAAGCCTATAGAATACAAATATTCCAAAACATGCATCCTGTTTCCAATAAGGCACTAAAGTAAAACTGCAAAAAATGTGGCAAAGCAATTCACTTTTTGTCCTGAATACCAAGTGTTATGTATGGGGCAAATCCAACACATGAAGAGAAGGTCTCTGTAATATTTTCAAGCATGGTGGTGGCTGCATCATGTTATGGGTAGGCTTGTCATCAGCAAGGCCTAAGAAGTTTTTTTTTGTTGATAAAAAAACAACAGAATAGAGCTAAGCACAGGCAAAATCCTAGAGGAAAACCTGGTTCAGTCTGCTTTCCAAAAGACACTGGGAGACAAATTCACCATTCAGCAGGACAATAACTCAAATCACAAGGCCAAATATACACTGGAGTTGCTTACCAAGATGACATTGAATGTTCCTGTGTGGCCTAGTTACAGTTTTGACTTAAAAATCAGCTTGAAAGTCTATGGCAAGAATTGAAAATGGCTGTCTAGCAATGATCAACAACCAAATTGACAGCGCTTGAAGAACTTTAAAAATAATGTGCAAGCATTATTGTACAATAAAGATGTGCAAAGCTCTTAGACTTAATCCATTTTGAATTCAGGCTGTAACAACAAAATGTAGAATAAGTCAAAGGGTATGAATACTTTCTGAAGGCAATGTAAGTAAAGCCAGCCCAGAGAGCCAACTCTGTGGCGTTGCGGTGGAGAGCCGGGTTGCAAACCCCAGCCGGTCACACTTACATTAGGGAACACTTACATTAGTGAGAACTCCTGATTGACATAGAAGAGGGTGCCCTCTGCAAAGTCTTTGGGCGAGCCCACCACCGGGTCGTAGGACAACACCTGCCGCTTTAGCTTGGGGAACGCTACCAGGGACTGGAGGAAAAGGAGAGAGAGAGGAAGAAGAAAAAGGGAGATTGAACTTCACTCAACTTTATAGAGCAGCGGTCACCAACCGGTCGATCGCGATCATTCCTAGTCGATCGCCAAACATTTCGGTAAAAAAGATAAAGCTTTGTGTTCCTATTTTATTTTATTAGTCTTGGGCTGTTGGCAGTAGGTGCACCCGATTCAGCTGCCCTGCGCGCAGGGTAGGCAAACTGTTGCCATTTTGAACAATTTAATGTGTCTGAAGGTACAAACTCTGCCTTCCTGGCGGGCCCAGAGTAAATCAAGTGCACTGTAGGCCTACCGCTGGCCAATCGGATGGCTCAGATGATCGTGTCTGCAGTAACGTAGCATTCATAAAAGAAAGCTACAACAAAGATGATACTGAGATTTCAAAACGTTGAATACCATGATTAGAGAGAGACTGTCAATGAACACAGCAAAGTAATGCTGTTTTTATGAGTGAGTTCATGTTGAAGTTCAGCAGTGTCACTTTGTATTCAACACTTTTATAAGCCATTAAATGAGCGTTCTTCCTATTTCCACTCAGAGCTACAACATGCACTGCAGCAGTAATGAATGAGTAGGAAAGTGTATCTATAGGCTTGCGTTGTTATTATTAGTGGCTTGGGTCTTTTTTAATATCAAGGAATAATTCATTCTCTCTGTTCATAGGAATAACATGAATTTGTGCATGAGGCAGAAATAATGCGGTCCGACTCGAGTTGCCCCATCAGCTGGAAGACTGTCCCTTTTTGGTCAGTGTCAGCGGAGGAAAGGGAGAGCGGAGGGATGTTGAGAGGCGGACCCTCAGTCTGCTGCTCTCTCCCTCCGCTGAGACTGACCATCAGAAGCAGACACCATCAGCCCAGTAAAATAAAAAGCAAACTATTTAAATATATGCTCACTCAACTGTGCTTCACAAGTAATATAACAACGGATCGATTACCAGTGTGATCATATAGCCTACATCAAATTTAGAAATATAATTTTCAAAAATGGCTCGAACAACAACGCATTGGTAGCAAAGCCAATATGCAGTGATAATGTATTGGGCCTATAGTTTACTCCACAAACCTCATTGCTACAGTACTGTTTTTAATTGGTTAATGTTGCATAGGCTTACGTTGTTAAAAAAACATCTGAGCGGTAGATCTCGGCTTGCATTTTGACTCAGAAAGTGATCTTGACTCAGAAAAGGTTAGTGACCACTGTTCTAGAGTTTTCCCGTTAACACTATCAACATTTCCCTTTACTGTAGCAATTGTGATCGAATCAACGCAATATTAGCCACTTTCAATGCAACATACCGAAACAAAATGAACTATGCAAGAGACTTTGTTGTAGGCAGAACGCATCAGAGTAGGATTCTACTGCATTGACACACACTACTCAGCCCGTACTCTACAGAGACCAGTGCGGCATAAACAAATCAGAGCTGCAGTAGGCCTATATGCAAATAGACCATTGCAATATATGGATCTGTGCTATTTACTTTTAACTGGACTGTGTTTACAGCATGAGCGGTCTCACAGAATGTAGGCCTACATTAAACACTACACAGCTATTTCCATGTTAAAATGTTATGGGATGCATTTTATCCCTTGTTTTTGATGGTAGGCCACTCTGGTAGGCCTATAACATGATCAAATAGCCACAGTAGCCTACATGGCCACTTTTTAAAAACTAATTTAAAGCAAGTACAGCCTCAGTGTTCACAGTAAACGTGCGCTGGAAGTTGCACAGAATTTTCACAACGTTCAAGTTTGCGCTCAGCAGACCTGAAATTTGCTCAGTGCCCAAAATAATTAGAGGGAACATTGCTGGTGAGTATGCAGGCCATTGAAGAACTGGGACATTTTCAGCTTCCAGGAATTGTGTACAGATCCTTCCGACATGGGGCCTTGCATAATCATGCTGAAACATGAGGTGATGGCGGCGGATGAATGGCACGACAATAGGCCTCAAGATCTCGTCACTATCTCTGTGCATTCAAATTGCCATCGATAAAATGCAAATTCTGTTCGTTGTCCGTAGCTTCTGCATGCCCATACCATAACCCCACCATGGGGCACTCTTAACATCAGAAACTGCTCGCCCACATGACGCCATACAGGCCGTCTGCCCGGTACAGTTGAAACCGGGATTCATCCGTGAAGAGCACATTTCTCCAGCGTACCAGTGGCCATTGAAGGTGATAATTTGCCCACTGAAGTCAGTTACAACGCCGAACTGCAGTCATGTCAAGACCCCGGTGAGGACGACGAGCACGCAGACGAGCCTCCCTGAGACGGTTTCTTACAGTTTGTGCAGAAATTCTTCAGTTGTGCGAACCCACAATTTCATCAGCTGTCCGGGTGGCTGGTCTCAGACCATCCCGCAGTTGAAGCCGGATGTGGAGGTCCTGGGCTGGCGTGGTTACACGTGGTCTGTGGTTGTGAGGCCAGATGGACATACTGCCAATTTCTCATGGTAGAGAAATGAACATTAAATTCTCTGGCAACAGCTCTGGTGGACACATCTGTGGCATTGTGTTGTGTGACAAAACTGCACAGTGACCTTTTATTGTATTTTTTGCCTACATCTATTTTTACCCCCAAAATTCCGTTCTCTCTGTTGAGTTTTTTCAGATTTTGCATTTCTCCCATTTTTTCTGGTTTTCCCATATTTGTATCACACTTTAAATAAAAACAACAAAATAAGATTTTCTATGTTCACAAGAATGCTTTAACCACATCAGGGGATTACTTTTGAGGTCTGGGAAAAATCTAAGAACTGTAATTCAGTGAGCATGACCTGCACTGTTTGGTTAGCGGGTTTTCTGTAGCGCAGTAAGCCACGTGATGATTATGTATTCCATATACAGTGATTCGCATTGTGGCCGCCAATGAAATGGGTGGAGTTAAAGGCCTGCAACACGCCATATTATTCAGAGCCCCATGAAATTACACAGTATACACATTCTACAGACCCTACTGAGTATTCCCTACAATACTTTTACAGCGGGGCACAGAATAGTTCTTGCTCTTCACCGGACAGATGTTGCTCTCCGGTTTTGTGATGAAACAAACGTATGTGTAGTTGAATTTATTCTGCCACTTTGTGACTTGTCTTTTTGTTGTCGCAGACTTATTGTATATCATGGTGGCCTATGAATGAATGGGTTATAGAGCAAACAACACAAATATCACAAAATGGGTAGTAAAATAGCTTTTTTACTGGTTGGCTTGCCCAGTGATTTAAGCCAATATGTACTCCATATACAGTGATTCGCATTGGGGGCATTTATGTGACCTTGGAACATGTTTTCAATACAGGTTAGACACCTTTCTACTATTAAGTGGGGGTGTTTTATTTTTTACATCTTTTGAAATTCCGTGACCCAGACTAAATGTTTTTGTGTTGCTGACGAGATGCTGATCATGTGACGAGTTGGCAAATTAAATGCCCACTTGTGGTGCCACTGGACAGCGAAAACCAACTTAACCTTTATTTATTGTAATTTAAAATGTTTGTAGTAGTTGAGTTAGATTACATACTGTAGCTACCTCAGTCGATATTTCAAATAATTAGCAAGCTCAGCTAAATAAAAATCATCCTAGATACAGCCACGTCTCATAGTCACGTCTTGAGATTTGTAAACTAAAGAGGAATATAAAAATACGAATCGAATGAAGTTTCCCATCTCCCCATTGAATGCTTTTCCAACAGTCTTGAAGGAGTTCCCACATATGCTGAGCACTTGTTTTCCGCTTATCCTTCACTTTGCGGTCCAACTCATCCCAAACCATCTCAATTTGGGTTGAGGTCGGGGATTGTGGAGGCCAGGTCATCTGATGCAGCACTCCATCCCTCTCCTTGGTAAAATAGCCCTTACACAGCCTGGAGGTGTGTTGGGTCATTGTCCTGTTGAAAAACAAATGATAGTCCCACTAAGCCCAAACCAGATAGGATGGCAAATAGCTGCAGATTGCTGTGGTAGCCATGCTGGTTAAGTGTACCTTGAATTCTAAATAAATCACAGACAGTGTCACCAGCAAAGCACCCCCACACCATAACACCTCCTCCTCCATGCGTCATGGTGGGAAATACACATGCAGAGATCATCCGTTCACCCACACCGCGTCTCACAAAGACACGGCGGTTGGAACCAAAACATCTCCAATTTGGACTCCAGACCAAAGGACAAATTTCCACCAGTCTAATGTCCACAGGTGTTTCTTGCCCCAAGCAAGTCTCTTCTTATTATTGGTGTCCTTTAGTAGTGGTTTCTTTGCAGCAATTCAACCATGAAGTCCTGATTCACACAGTCTCCACTGAACAGTTGATGTTGAGATGTGTATGTTACTTGAACTCTGTGAAGCATTTATTTGGGCTGCAATCTGAGGTGCAGTTAACGCTAATTAACTTATCTTCTGGGTCTACCTTTCCTGTGGCAGTCCTCATGAGAGCCATTTTCAACATAGCGCTTGATGGTTTTTGCAACTGTACTTGAAGAAACGTTCAAAGTTCTTAATTTTCCGTATTGACTGACCTTCATGTCTTAAAGTAATGATTGACTGTCGTTTCTCTTTGCTTATTTGAGCTGTTCTTGCCATAATATGGACTTGGTCTTTTACCAAATAGGGCTATCTTCTGTATACCACCCCTACCTTGTCACAACACAACTGATTGGCTCAAACACATTAAGGAGGAAATAAATTCCACAAATTAACTTTTAAAAAGGCACACCTGTTCATTGAAATGCATTCCAGAGAATACAGAGAACGTGCAAAGCTGTCAAGGCAAAGGGTGGCTATTTGAAGAATCTCAAATATATGTTGATTTGTTTAACACTTTTTTGGTTACTACATGATTCCATGTGTGTTATTTCATAGTGTTGATGTCTTCACTATTACTAAAAATTAAATAAAAACCCTTGAATGAGTAGGTGTCAAAACCTTTGACTGGTACTGTATGTATTATAAATGCCCAAAGGGGTCTGACTTTAAATTAAGTACAGCGTCATGTGATAGTCTTTTTGGATGTGTTATGAATTACCGAAGGTGTCTCACTAAGTATTACAGGATACTACATAAAGTGTCAATAAATAGGTTATTAACATTCTGCTGATTTATGAAGGTTCTCATGATCCACAGGTTACTGTAGGTTGTGAGAGGTATTTAAATGGGTTGATGAATCTGCAAAGCTTGCGTTTGTGTGTCAGAACCAAGATGATTTGGAGTAGTCCAACCTGAGACTAATGCACCAGGTCTTCCTTTTATGTTCCCATGCTGGAGACCAGGGCTTGATTACAACCTGTTACAATGGTGCCAACATTTTGCGGCTGATCTTTCAGCGGGGGAGTGGCCCAGTACTGCACGGTATGGCTAGTTTTTGTTGTGTGCGTGTTTGTGTACTGAGGAACGTGCAACTTGGTTACAGAAGAAAGACACTTTCAAGTTCTTTAGGTTGGGGGCTTCATCAAGGTAAGTGTTTCTTGGTGTAACGTCGTCCCCAGGCTATTGCACACACAGCACATATAAGCCTGGGATATCAACCATTCAAAGTTGGCCTTAGTGGGAGTGACCATAGAATTCTATAGGAGTGACCTTACTGAGTAAAGTATTTGTCATTGTCACTAGTTAACACTGTCAAAAAGTCATAATTATGGCTAAACCCTCACCATTTCCATAATTTATCTTCTTCAAATTGTATTTTAAACATAACCCTAACCAGGCTCTGTCGTAGCCGGCCGCGACCGGGAGACCAATGGGGCGGCGCACAATTGGCCCAGCGTCGTCCAGGGTAGGGGAGGGAATGGCCGGCAGGGAATGTAGCTCAGTTGGTAGAGCATGGCGTTTGCAACGCCAGGGTTGTGGGTTCGATTCCCATGGGGGGGCCAGTATGAAAAATAAAATGATGTATGCACTCACTAACTGTAAGTCGCTCTGGATGAGAGCGTCTGCTAAATGACTAAAATGTAGGTCTACTAGACCTTCTGCACATTTGAGATTAGGTGTAATGTGACTAACATGACCTCACTTTAGAGCGTATGCCATTCATCAGGTCCCCCTTTATAAAGCATGTTTATGTCATACTTGACATATTGGGTTATGTCACATTTGACATTGGTCATTTTGTTAGTTATGCCACATTTATGAACCCTTTATAATGCATGACAAATTGTTATAGCACTGTAACACATTTATGTAGTGCTTATGAAGGCTTTATGAAGACTATAAGCTGAACGTCATTTAAAGCGGAACCGATAAGGTAAATCCATCACTGATAGACATCAATCAAAAACAGTTTTAGAAAGTACTAATGGTTATGGTTGCATGGAAACTGCAGGGCGGTTTCAGGGTGTTTGTTGCGTATCAAATTAATAAAACACTGGTTATTCCCAGGTTATCCAGAAATCCTGGTTGGAAGATTCCCGAATCAAGCGAGAATATGCATCAAATCCAGAAATCCTCCTACTAGGATTTTGGGAGAACATGGTCATTTTGAAAATGTTACAGGAATCTTGCAACCCTAGTCCTTACGATAGGTAACCCTTTGACCCCCGACCTCTACCCTTTGACACTGTGCATTACCCAGAGGGTGCGTCGGAGCTCGGCGTCAGGCAGCTCCGTGGCCAGCTTAAGGTTCTCAAAGCTGATCCTCTCCCGAGGCCTCTGGTTCCAGGCAAACAGCACAGCCAGTTGGAAGGTGGTCACCTCCAGGTCATACTGGCCCACCTCATTCTTAAAGGTGATCTGGATATAATTACATAGAATGAATGACAGGATCTGTATGGTCTGGACAGAGAGGAGGCTGGAGGGGGGAAGGCGCAAGAGGCGATAAAATAGACTCCTGGGCTGACCCACCCCCTAGGCACTCCTGTGTTTGTGTGTGTGGGGCTTTACACTCACAATGCCATTGGACATGAGGTGGTGCCAGTGCAGTTTTCTGCCACTGTGGTTCTTTTTGTAGAAGTCCTCCACCTCTGGGATCAGGTCCTCCAGCTCGGTGGGCAGTGACACAAACACCTTCTCTGAGCTCCGCGACCACGCCCCCGCATTCAGGATCTTGATGTTGACAGAGTCCGCTGCACAAGAGGAGGGGGATTATTACATTATGTCTAATATACACACAACGGAGAAACATAATATACCAGTATAACTACTAATTCATTGTTTTACACAATATATTTGCCACATTTGATCAGTTTCTAGAATGAAAGATTCCCTGACCAAGATGGACATCATTTTTCGTCACATTGATGAAAAGCCCATGTTCATTCTAGTGTTCTATTTAATTATATAATATACACTTTCAAGTACTTGAGCTGTGCTTTTTTGGGGGTACTGGTAGTGGAGCCAGTTGAATAGTACAAACTCCAAGTGAAATTCCGAACCCAAACATTAAAGGACTGTATCAATAGAAGTTGTATTACTTTTCACTAGGTCTCATCCAGCCACGTACAACAAACATTATCCCCCAAACGTACAGGTAGACAGTTGCGATTCCTGCTTGAGCCAGAAATACCAGACCTGCCAACCTCACCAGATGGCTAAAGGAGTCATTTTGGCTGCTCATTATTTTTTATTACTCTGCCATTTTTTAAGTCATGGCCCCCTCCGTCCTTGACTTTACCTAAATAACACACTGCCGTTGTTAGAATCTAAATAACATAAACAGAACTGGAGTTATATCCAGTTTTAGGGGGGCATGTCATTTTATGAATGTTTTCCCCCATTGCCTCTCCTCCACCTGACGGTAGAGCCTGCTCCACTCCTTCTCCCAACAGTGGAAGGTGCCATGCCCAGTTGATATTCACCCCGATAATTGCCTCGAAACTGAACCCAAACTATACCGAAACTAATTTCAAACATAATTTTTAAAACAAATATGGCCAATATATAAAAGGAATGAACGATGCATAATTATGTAATCAGCAATTGTTAATGAAGAACAGGGCAGGCCATTCTATTGTGTTGGTATATTCTAATTATAATCTCAAAATGGTATGTACCCTATATCAGTCCACCAAACCCAAGCAGTCTTATCAGTCTTCTCTGGCCTTCCCTGCCTGCAGATAACCAATTTCACTGGAATGTGCCTTCAGAGCTTCAAACTAATACAATAATATACACAGCAAACACTTCCTTACTCACATGCGAACACACCTATACAACACTTGCACACAAACAAAATTCACACTCATTCTCAAAGACTTGTATTTGTGTACAACGTGGACATATTATGATGCTATTTGTTTTAAATGTTTGCATTTGATTTGACTTTTATTATGGTCCATAATATAGTTCTGCTAATGAGACATTTCCATAGTGTTTTAATTATCCTTTGTATACTTTCTAGAGTATTTGCTACCTTTTTTATATGACCCTGAATGTCAAACGTGTATATGAGTGAGAGCATGTGTAACTTACCAATGGCAAGAAGACCAAGATGCTGTGCTGCTACAAGATCTGAATTAAAACGACTCCGATGGTGGCGAAGAAATGAGTCATGACATCTGATTATTCTTCTGATTCTGAGCTTTAGCCTGAACCTACACCTCTGAGGCCGAAACTCAAAAAAGCCAGAATAGTGTACCTTGAGCAGGTGCTCACACCACCACCAAATGAAACGGTGAGACAGGAAGGGACAGCACCGTTTGGATAGAACAAGCCAGTGACAATGCTACCGTCCGATTATAATCACTGAGAGAGCAGGCCCTACATCTCAAGCAAAAAATAACACCAACGCACTCACCAGCTTTCATTGTTTATGTGAAATGGAAACACTGCCTGGGGTCTGTCTGTTTAAGAGCTGGACGCGTTCATTTCAATCCTATATGTCTGGGGAGCATTCGGTGGAAAGAGCATGTATATGGAGAGCTTCTGGTCAGACGTATGCGACAGGGTTTCCGTTAGGGACATTTGACCGGCAGCATTTTAAAATTTACCAGACATTTAAGAAATGTACTGGACCCATATGCATTGGTTGTGTAACCCGATTAGGGTGTCCACCCACGATTCACAGAAATCACATTTAGTTTATGGTAATTCATCTTAACAGAACATGCAACTCGGATGCAAAAGCGTGCGTCATTCTTACCGAATTCCGATGAGCAATTTGAAGATAGAATACATAGGCGGCGTCTCCATAACGCTAGGGGAAGCTAAGCTTTCCCTAAAAGGAAATTGGCAAAATGATATAGCCTAATTAGCTTACTCCTGTCTACATAGAAATAAATAAAATAATTTAAAAAATTGGCTACAACAGCAGAAAGCATGATTTGGCCACAGAGGATCATTAGCTTCTTAAAAAACACTCAAAGGCCAAAATTTGCATTGAACAAAAGGTGATTGAGTTATATTATTAGCCTAAATTATGACTATCCAATCTAATCATCACATTAGGAATAGTAGGCTGTGTTATACCAGTCTGCAAATGTGATGATGCATGGAATGCTTTATTATAAAAGGTGAATTTTTATGGTGAAAATTAGCTTCCTCAAACTTGAAACCCACACGCCGCCTATGTTAGAATAACTGTCCACATTTACTTTTCCTCAGCCAATAAGACGAGTAACGAACAGCAAAATCACTAGCCTATGTCAATCTACTATACCCCATAGTAGAAAAGTTGACCTATTCTATTGGTCTATTCCAAACAGACTCTGGGACAGTTGTGGGACGATAGATCCCAAATCCATCCAACCAGTAGGCCTATAGGCTACATCCAAAAAACTTTAAAAAGCAAATGAGGCTCATGCAAGAGATCAGAACGTTTAGCATAAAATGTTAATTAACCATTATGTTAATAATAATAAAATCATATGCATTTAGCAGAGCTTTTATCCAAGCGACTACAGTCATGCGTGCATAATGTTTTTGTGTATGGGTGTCCCGGGGATCAACCCACTACCTTGGCGTTACAAGCGCCGTGCTCTACCAGCTGAGCTACAGAGGACCACACTTCATAGGACACAACCACTGCTCACACTATTAGGACATCTATTCTGACTTACTTCAGCTTCATCAGTTTATATGAAGCTGAAGTTTATGTCTTCACATTATTAGCGGGAACACACCATTGTGAGCGGTTTCATGTGACAGATCAAAATATCTGTTAGATATTTAGAAAGAGGGGAGATCTAAATATGCAACAACAAGCATGGGTTGCAAATATGACTAGGATTATGCCTTTGGCTACTGGACAATGAAAGAAAGAGGATTTGAAAACCAATCGAACAGAGAAAAAGACTACTGGTTTCAATGGCATATGGAAGTCTTTATAAAATAATTGCCTGCACGTTTGATTGGATTTTGGCAAGTCTACTTTGAAGCAATGTAAGAGGAGCCTCATAATATGTAGTAAAACGGTCAGGTTTCAAACAATTAAATATGTTTACAAAATGCATACTGCCTCCAGCTCATTGCAAAGTGGTGTGTGATGCACTGAAGCCTGCCTATTTGTCTATGTACTTAAATGACTAATGGGCAGCATGCTTCAATTACCTGCTGAGAATTTTAAAAAATATTAGCTATTTTTATTTTTTAAATTGTGGCCATTGTTTTTGTTTTTACACGCCTTTAGAATTGTTGCACAATAATTGGGCTTATTAACGCACATTTCACTCGAACAGAAAAAAAACCCCGCTGTTTGAGCTGTATCAGCAGCTCTCGCGCTACATCGACTGGTATTTAAATACATTAAATAGGCTAAAATGCATTACTTCGCAATGGGATTTATTTTGGCCAGCAGCAATTTTGGCCAATCAGCTTTTCATACATTTTTTTGCGGCCAAAAGCCAGCTATTACTGGCTAACGGAAACCCTGGTATGGGATGCCTTTTCTTTGGAGAAACCATGTCATGGAATCACTTCAGAGAGATCATGAGTTACCTCCTTTTTGATGACGAACAAGAACACGAAGCCTGGAGACAAATTCGCCATGGTATACGACGTATAAATAAATGGTCTATTGTCATAGTGACAAATTATATTTCCATTATTGCTTTGTGCTGATTTTAACTATTTATCAAGCATACTTGGCGCTTATGATATTTTGGCTACTGATGTTTTCATTATTTTACCATGCGTCTTGTCTTGGTGGTTGGGGTATTTATTTAACTTCCATTTCCTGTAACCTAGTCTTAAATTATATCAAACATTGTGGAAAACACAGAAGATTTGTGTTTGATTCTAAATGAAATTGAGGTGGTCTCAATGACAGTAACATTTTTCTAGGTTAAATTTAGGGGTAATGATAACCCAATTAATAGGTGTCTTTATGTGGATAGTTTAGTGAACATGTAAACTGGCTTCTTAATTTTGTTTGGGGAGACAATTTTGAATAATTTAATTACTGGATGCAATGTAGCAGTCCAGCTTACTTTGGGCTATTTGGAATATGAAACAACTGAACTAGGCCTATATGAGCTTGTTTCAGATCTCCATGCCTGACCTAATCCATCAAGTTAGGTCTGACTACTAGGCTGCCATTCATTCAATATGCCTTGTTGTCATTGGTGAACTGACTATCACATCATTAGCAGACTACTGTTGACATACAGCTACAGTGCATTCGTAAAGTATTCAGACCCCTTTACTTTTTTCACATTTTGTTATGTTACAGCCATTATTCTAAAATGAATTAAAAATGTTTTCCTCAAAAATCTACACAAAATACCCCATTATGACAAAGCAAAAACAGGTTTATAGAATGTTTTGCAAAATGTATAAAATAAAATAAATCTGAAATACCTTTCCATAAGTATTCAGACCCTTTGCTATGAGACTCGAATTTGAGCTCAGGTGCATCCTGTTTCCATTTATCATTATTGAGATGTTTCTAAAACTTGATTGGAGTCCACCTGTGGTAAATTCAATTGATTGGACATGATTTGGAAAGGCATATATCTATATAAAGGTCCCACAGTTGACAGTGCATGTAAGAGCAAAAACCAAGCCATGAGGTCGAAGGAATTGTCCATAGAGCTACGATTGAGGATTGTGTCGAGGCACAGATCTGGGAAAGGGTACCAAAGAATGTGTGCGGCATTGAAGGTCCCCAAGAACACAGTGGCCTCCATCATTCTTAAATGGAAGAAGTTTGGAACCACCAAGACTGAGCAATCGGGGGAGAAGGGCCTTGGTCAGGGAGGTGAACAAGAACCTGATGGTCCCTCTGACAGAGCTCCAGAGTTCCTCTGTGGATATGGTAGACCCTTCCAGAAGGACAACCAACTCTGCAGCACTCTACCAATCAGACGGAAGCTACTCCTCAGTAAAAGCCACATGGACAGCCCACTTGGAGTTTCCCAAAAGGCACCTATAGAGTCTCAGACCATGAGAAACAAGATCCTCTGAAACCAAGATTGAACTCTTCGGTCTGAATGCCAAGCATCACATCGAGGAAACCTGACACCATCCCTACGGTGAAGCATGGTTGTGGCAGCATTATGCTGTGGTTATGTTTTTCAGCGGCAGGAACTGGGAGACTAGTCAGGACCGAGGGAAAGATGAATGGAGCAAAGTACAGAGAGATACTTGATGAAAACCTGCTCCAGAGCGCTCAGGGCCTCAGACTGGGGCGAAGGTTCACCTTCCAACAGGACAACGACCCTAAGCACACAGCCAAGACAATGCAGGAGTGGCTTCGGGACAAGTCTCTGAATGTCCTTGAGTGGCCCAGCCAGAGCCCAGACTTGAACCCAATTTAACATCTCTGGAGAGACCTGAAAATAGCTGTGCCGCGACGCTCCCCATCCAACCTGATAGAGCTTGAGAGGATCTGCAGAGAAGAATGGGAGAAACTCCTCATACAGGTGTGCCAAGCTTGTAGCGTCATACCCAAGAAGACTCGAGGCTGTAATTGCTGCCAAAGGTGCTTCGACAAAGTACTGAGTAAAGGGTCTGAATACTTACGTAATTGTGATCAAGTTTATTTTTAATACATTTGCACAAAAGAAACCTGTTTTTGCTTTGTCATTATGGGTGTGTGTAGATTGATGAAAAAAATAAAATGGTCTTCCATTTTAGATTAAGGCTGTAACGTAACAAAATGTGGAAAAAGTCAAGGGGTCTGAATACCTTCCGAATGCACTGTATGTCAAGAGGACAGATCAACAAGTGATTAATTAACATAGGCCTACCAATATTTAACAGTCTAACATAACTTTCTGTGTAGGACGGTATTAGCAGAACAACTCTCTCTGCCATGTCTGTTTCCATCCACACAGCGACGCAAACTGAACTACCGCAACACCACACGTTCCCTTGCGCTTGCACCTACTACCGTTGCGCCGATCAAAGCATGTGTTCTCGCTTAGTTGACTAAATGTTGTAGCTAACTACCTTAGTCGTAATGACGCCTTAGCTAAGGCAACAACTACAAAATAATAGTAGTTCTGTGCTTGAGTAACACATACAGTGCCTTCAGAAAGTATTCACACCCCTTGACTTTTTCCACATTTTGTTGTGTTACAAAGTGGGATTAAAATAGATTTCATTTTCATTTTTTGTCAACGATCTACACAAAATACTCTGTCGAAGTGAAAAAATATTCTAACATTTGTAAAAATAAACGAATAAAACACTAATATACTGTATCTTGATTAGATAAGTATTCAACCCCCTGAGTCACCACATGTTACAAGCATATATATTTTTTTTATTAGGTACATACAGCTACCTGGTTTACCTGATAGGGCCAGCTTGTTGTGTTTGTGACACTCTTTGAAGTTTTGGTTGAGGTCCTCGGACACCTTGATGTCCTGGAACATCCGAGCCAGCTTATTCACGTAGTCAGCCGGCATGCCTACCTCCTGCAATCAAGGGTAGGGGACATTGGTGATGTGGTATAATTTTAAGTACGTGAGGTGGATCAAATGCACACATAGGCAGTCTCTCCCATCTCCGTCTCATAAGACACTAACACGCATGCACGTACCCACCTAGGGCTGTGGCGGTCATGAAATTTGGTCAGCCAGTGATTGTCAAGCAAATAACTGCCGGTCTCACGGTAATTGACCGTTAATTAACATAAACACCTTTATAATCTCCTGGCTTCCATGCATAGCCTACAAGCCACTCATGCATACCTTTGGAACATCCATTTAATATTGCCTACACCATCACAATAAATCCATTATTTTAGACAGGTCTTAAGAAACATGATATGAAGAAAATGTAGTCTATTTCAGATTAACAGAATAGCATACTCAGAGTTGTCCTTATGTTAGGCCCTAATCTGGCTATGCCATATGGATGTGAGCTACACTAGTTCCTTTAGCAAACAAGATTTGCTTAGAAATCCATGCCATTATTTTATAGTATGAAGAATATAATTGAACATATCTGAATAAAATAGAAAGGATATTTTCTCCAAGCAATTTCAGAGGGACTGCGCACATGCGGCTATTCTGTGTTGAGCGGTTAACAAAGAAACAGGTCCTCCTATTTGCTTAAATTTAGAGTTATTTATGCAACTTTAGTTGTGATTCAAACGATATATGTATATACACACTACCGTTCAAAAGTTTGGGGTCACTTAGATCTTTCCTTGTTTTCTAAAGAAAAGCAATTTGATCAGAAATACAGTGTTGACATTGTTAATGTTGTAAATGGCTATTGTAGCTGGAAACGGCTGATTTTTAATGGAATATCTACATAGGCGTACAGAGGCCCATTATCAGCAACCGTCAGTCCTGTGTTCCAATGGCACGTTGTGTTTGCTAATCCAAGTTGATCATTTTATAAGGCTAATTGATCATGAGAAAACCCTTTTGCAATTATGTTAGCACAGCTGAAAACTGGCCTTTTTTACATTTACAATTTCACAAGCACTTGATAATATTCTCACCCGTCAGACTATTCTTAATCTGATATTTACATATAGTGGTCCTCTGTAGCTCAGCTGGTAGAGCACGGCGCTTGTAACGCCAAGGTAGTGGGTTCGATCCCCGGGACCACCCATACACAAAAAATGTATGCACGCACGACTGTAAGTCGCTTTGGATAAAAGCGTCTGCTAAATGGCATATTATTATTATTATTATTATATAGCTTACTAATAAATGTGTGGAATTAGTTTTGATTAGAACGGCCCACAAAAAAAGTGTCATCAGTAGCCTGCACTCGAATAGCGAATGGAGGTTACGTGCAGTTACGTTTTTAATATGCAAACATAGGCGGCGCGTCCATTAGGCTAGGGGTCCCTTTGATGCGGTGAAGTTGTCCTGTCCCCTTAGCAGAAAAACACCCCCAAAGCATAATGTTTCCACCTCCATGTTTGACGGTGGGGATGGTGTTCTTGGGGTCATAGGCAGCATTCCTCCTCCTCCAAACACGGCGAGTTGAGTTGATGCCAAAGAGCTCGATTTTGGTCTCATCTGACCACAACACTTTCACCCAGTTCTCCTCTGAATCATTGATGTTCATTGGCGAACTTCAGACGGCCCTGTATATGTGCTTTCTTGAGCAGGGGGACCTTGCGGGCGCTGCAGGATTTCAGTCCTTCATGGCGTAGTGTGTTACCAATTGTTTTCTTGGTGACTATGGTCCCAGCTGCCTTGAGATCATTGACAAGATCCTCCCGTGTAGTTCTGGGCTGATTCCTCACCGTTCTCATGATCATTGCAACTCCACGAGGTGAGATCTTGCATGGACCCCAGGCCGAGGGAGATTGACAGGTCTTTTGTGTTTCTTCCATTTGTGAATAATCGCACCAACTGTTGTCACCTTCTCACCAAGCTGCTTGGCGATGGTCTTGTAGCCCATTCCAGCCTTGTGTAGGTCTACAATCTTGTCCCTGACATCCCTGGAGAGCTCTTTGGTCTTGGCCATAGTGGAGAGTTTGGAATCTGATTGATTGATTGCTTCTGTGGACAGGTGTCTTTTATACAGGTAACAAGCTGAGATTAGGAGCACTCCCTTTAAGAGTGTGCTCCTAATCTCAGCTCGTTACCTGTATAAAAGACACCTGGGAGCCAGAAATCTTTCTGATTGAGAGGGGGTCAAATACTTTTTTCCCTCATTAAAATGCAAATCAATTTATAACATTTTTGACATGTGTTCTTCTGGATTTTTTTGTTGTTATTCTGTCTCTCATTGTTCAAATAAACCTACCATTAAAATTATAGACTGATCATTTCTTTGTCAGTGGGCAAATCAGCAGGGGATCAAATACTTGCCAGGTCGCAGTTGTAAATGAGAACTTGTTCTCAACTGGCTTACCTGGTTAAATAAAGGTTAAATAAAAAATAAAATAAAAAACTTGTTTCCCTCACTGTATATTATTAGCCCAAATTATGACTATCCAATCTACTCATCACCTTACAAATAGTAGGCCATCTTACAAGTCTGCAAAGATTATGCATGTAATGCTTTATTATAAAAGGTGAAAATTCTTCCCCAAACTTGAAACTCACGCGCCGCCTATGTATGCCAGTTAGGCTACACCGGTTATAAAGCAGATTAATGTGCTTCATTTTAAGAATTGAGCAATAAAAATAGCAGCATGAGAAAACTGGGATCCTATTTTAAAAAGTGGTCAGTCAAAACTCTGTTTTCACACGCGATTGCGCAATGACTGGGTTTATAAGAACGCGTTTCACTAGGCTCTGTGATCTCTATCCGTTTTCCAAGGGTACTAGGCCTATAGGCTACGTTTGCAGTTATTTGGCCACTTTGTTGTGATACAAACCTTACCGAAACATATAGGCCTATGGGCTAGGCTACATGACGTGTACAACTATAATTTAGGAATAGCAATGCGCTGTTTCTTGCCTTACTGCACACGCTGGTCATCCTTCACAAGTGATAGTCACCCATGAGACTATTCTTACCTTCATCTTGTCTTTACATATACTAATAATATATACGTGTGAAATTAGTTTTCATTTATCGGAACAGGGGCAAAAAAATAAAAATAAAAATTAAAATAGCGAATGGAGGACGCTCTACCCGTGGTTAATTTTCATGCCAGCCAGGTAGGCTACACTCCTGTTGTAAAGCAAAGCAATGTGTTTAATATTAGGAAAGTTTAGAAATACATATCAATTTAGTAGGCCTAGCCTATAGAAAGCTGATGGGATACTATTTTTAAGAGGCCATCCCCCCCAAAAATTTGCTCAACATGAGCTCATGGGCTCTCATTAAGGGTTTGATTTTCAAATACATTGTCAGAGTGATTAGAGGGACAATAGATTGCTGAGTACGAGGCCATTAGCGACTGGCAATTAGCAAGTTTGGTAGGCTACTAATGACCATCAGCAGCATCAGAGCAGCTTAGTTACCGTGACTAAACAGTCACGTGGAATTTGATTGCGGTCATGACTGGTGACCGCCAGTGTGGCAGTAATACGGTCACCGTAACAGCCCTACACCCACCAACACACAGGTCGTACCCTGAGCCACTCCACCATGTTCTCCTCGACTTCGCTGTCGGCGGAGATGTCCAGAATGAGGCGTCGGGTCAGATGGGCTTTGTGGTAGCGCATGAACACGTCTTTGTTCTGCACGTACTTCAACACCAGCAACTGCAGGAGAACACACACATAGAAAGAACACCACTGTGCAATCAGGGTCGTATTATAGTAATATATTCCATTTAGCAGACGCTTTTATCCAAAGCGACTTACAGTCATGCATGCATACATTTTTCGTATGGGTGGTCCCGGGAATTGAACCCACTACCCTGGCGTTACAAGCGCCATGTTCTACCAACTGAGCTACAAAGGACCACATTCATTAGCGCACACAGTAGCAAACATTTTTGAAATGAAAAACTAAAACAAGCGTTTCTTATTGGACAAGTTCAGGTAGCCCTTCCCTGTTTCAGTCTGTTTTCTTCTATTTAGTGTCTAATGAACATGACCCAGCTTAGATTGTCCCGTCCAATGAAGAAACCTTTAAGTGTTTGCAGATCTGAAAAGAATACCTACAGGTATATACATCGTCACTCAGTACCTGCTAAACGAAGAGAGAAATACAAAGTATAAACCAACGACTACACTACAAACATAAAAAAGGGGGGGTGGGGGTTGGTGAAAGGGGTGAGCGTTGCAGAGTATATGTGAGCTGAGTTCATCGCTCATGCGCCATTTCCTTTCCTACCGCTCTGCTAAAAACCGCTCCACGCTAAAAAAATAAAATAAATCCCACTACAAATTCACAACATTCTTTAAAATCACTATTTAACCAACACCTATTTTTGTGACTACCTGGACCTACCAATTGGTTTTAAAGTATTGAAAGCAAACCATATGGATTTAAATGAAAAGTATTTGAATAAACATGAAAAGGTGAATGTAAGAAGCGAACGTCACTTCAAATAGGCTACATGTCATATTAAAAACAGCATATAAACACTAAATAGGTCAGGAGACAGACAGGAAGCCTAAAAAGGAACGAAAATGAATACTTTGTTGAAGCACCTTTGGCAGCGATTACAGCCTCGAGTCTTCTTGGGTATGACGCTAAAAGCGTCTGCTAAATGGCATATTATTATTATTACTACTATTTGGGGAGTTTTTCCCATTCTTCTCTGCAGATCCTCTCAAGCTCTGTCAGGTTGGATGGGGAGCGTCGTTGCACAGCTATTTTCAGGTCTCTCCAGAGATGTTCGATCGGGTTCAAGTCCGGGCTCTGGCTGGGCCACTCAAGGACATTCAGAGACTTGTCCCAAAGCCACTCCTGCGTTGTCTTGGCTGTGTGCTTAGGGTCATTGTCCTGTTGGAAGGTGAACCTTTGCCACAGTCTGAGGTCCTGAGTGCTCTGGAGCAGGTTATCATCAAGGATCTCTCTGTACTTCGATCCGTTCATCTTTCCCCTCAATCCTGACTAGTCTCCGAGTCCCTGCTGCTGAAAAACATCCCCACAGCATGATGCTGCCACCATCATGCTTCACTGTAGGGATGGTGCCAGGTTTCCTCCAGACATGACTCTTGGCATTCAGGCCAAAGAGTTCAATCTTGGTTTCATCAGACCAGAGAATCTTGTTTCTCATGGTCTGAGAGTCCTTTAGGTGTCTTTTGGCAAACTCCAAGCGGGCTGTCATGTGCCGTTTACTGAGGAGTGGCTTCCGTCTGGCCACTACCATAAAGGCCTGATTGGTGGAGTGCTGCAGAGATGGTTGTCCTTCTGGAAGGTTCTCCCATCTCCACAGAGGAACTCTGGAGCTCTGTCAGAGTGACCATCGGGTTCTTGGTCACCTCCCTTGACCAAGGCCCTTCTCCCCCGAGTGCTCAGTTTGGCCGGGCGACCAGCTCTAGGAAGAGTCTTGGTGGTTCCAAACTTTTTCCATTTAAGAATGATGGAGGCCACTGTGTTCTTGGGGACCTTCAATGCTGCAGACATTTTTTAGTACCCTTCCCCAGATCTGTGCCTCGACACATTCCTGTCTCGAAGCTCTACCGACAATTCCTTCGACCTAATGGCTTGGTTTTTGCTCTGACATGCACTGTCAACTGTGGGACCTTATATAGACAGGCGTGTGACTTTCCAATCAATTGAATATATTACAGGTGGACTCCAATCAAGTTGTAGAAACATCTCAAGGATGATCAATGGAAACAGGATGCACCTGAGCTGAATTTCGAGTCTCATAGCAAAGGGTCTGAATACTTATGTAAATAAGGAATCCATTTTGTTTATTTTTGCCAAAAAATCTGTTTCCGCTTTGTCGGTATGGGTTATTGTGTGTAGATTGATGAGGATTTTTTTTATTTTTTTTAAATCCATTTTAGAATAAGGCTGTAACGTAACATGTGGAAAAAGGAAAGGGGTATGAATACTTTCTGAATGCAATGTAAACATTTCGTTGTATTAAATCATTATATTCTATAAATTGCGCATATAGGCTGTGACTTAGAATTAAATACAAATTAAATGAAAAATGACTTATTAGTGCCTTTAAATTCATTTTTAGAATTCATTTTTAGAAACACGAGTTTGGCCAGTATGTGGCTTCAGGCTCATGCGATGGTGCCTGGACAGCCAGCCAGCAGCAGAGAATATCCTCTCCACACTTGCAGAGCCACTGAGGATGCTAAACACCCGTAAACATTTTTTTTTTTTTTAAAGGTTTTTAGGCAAAATAACCCGATCAAAACGGAAAGCTATTTGAACGTGGGAATATGGCCTATTTTATAGATAATAGAATGAAAATTAACAAAACATTTAAGATATCTGATTTTTACGTTATAAACACTTTGCTACGATGACACAGTTAACTACCCACCTCGTTCCTTTCTTTTAGCATGCGCACATAGTAAGTACACCATCATACTTTTGGAATAAGTGTCTTTTCAGATTTGACAATGATTCTTTAGTTGTGGATGTTTCATGTAGCCAGCGTGTAACAACTGCCAAATCCTGCGCGTAGAACAATGGCATCCGGTCTATAACCTAACAGTTTAGCACCATACCAGCATGTGGCATCCAAGCCTTACACATAACAGTGGACTCTTCATCACCACACTCCCTCTCTTGCTCCTTATCTTGTTTAAGTCACCTTGATTTAACACCTGTGTGTTTTATCAGTTTCTTTATGAAAATATTTAACGAACTCCATGACAGTAGCTGAAGCAATGGGCTACTAGCAGCACACAAGTAGACTACAAATGCATGCTGGGGTGGGCATGCCCTGAGCTCCTGAAGTGAGCGCTACTGGAGCGAAATTGGAGCAGGCGAGAAGGCCGACGCTCCAGCCTTTAGAAATCTCACTCCAGTCAAATTGGGCTCCGCTTCTCGCGCCGCTCACGTACTCTTGAACGATGGAAAGGTGAAAGCAACATGGTAGACGCTCTCCACAGCCCAAGGCCGCTTGCACACTGATTTTGTGTCAATGTTTTTTTTATTTTTTTTTATGGGAGTCATCTGTTGCTGGATGAATGACAAGTGATGATGATTGTCTGACAAAAAAACACACAAACTGAAAATTGTTGACTTGAGATGTACTTAAAGTACAATAACAAACAATGATGTACACTTCGTCAAAAGTTTGGACCCACCTACTAATGGGCTTTTCTTTATTTAAAATGTTTTTTATATTGTGGAATAACAGAAGACATAAAAACTATGAAATAACACATATGGAATCATGTAGTAACCAAAAAAGTGTTAAATCAAAATATATTTTAAATTTGAGATTCTTCAAACAGCCACTCTTTGCCTTGATAACAGCTTTGCACACTCTTGGCATTCTCTCAACTACCTCATGAAGCTGGTTCAGAGAATGCCAAGAGTGTGCAAAGCTGTTATCAAGGCAAAGGGTGGCTATTTGAAGAATCTCAACATGACTCCATATGTGTTATTTCATAGTTGATGTCTTCACTATTATTCTACAACGTAAAAAAAAGTAAAAATAAAGAAAAACCCTTGAATTAGTAGGTGTGTCCAAACTTTTGACTGGTACTGTACATCACATACGATTTCATCCGAGTACGCCCGAGTGTGGCCGTAGCCTTAAGGAAAGCTTGCTGGAGTCATCAAATCATTACGCACACACACACACACACACACACTACTCCCATACACGTACCACTTCCTTGAGCTTGGCCTCGATCTCCTCGGATGCAAGTTTCTTGCTCAGCTGGGTTTTCCTCAGCAGCATGTCACAGTAGTTGGCCAGCAGCTCTGGACACTTGGACTCCGGCTGGGTCTTCAGCCCCACCCTGACAGACAGACCGTGCAGAGAAAGTAGAGCAGTGTCGTAAACACACACGTTCACTCATTAACTAATTAAGCAATTAAGAGTTCAGAAGTAGTGTAAAAAATTTTATTTCAAAAAGTAGTCGTGAAAAAATGAAAGATCACCCTCCTGCACCTTGTTGAATGCTCCCACAGTTTTATCAAGAGCAACGTCAATAAAACTGTAGGAGCATTCAACAGTTTGCTGGTATCCATCTTGAATTCAGTGAAGAAATGAAAGCATACAGTAGAACACAGAGCGCCTCTTACCCTTTCTGCTTCAGTGGTAGTTCCAATTTAAAAATAGTAGCGTCGTTCACAACTGCTTTGTAAGCCTAAGAAAAAACACATATTACATATAGAGTGACAACCATCAACTGCAAATACTGTGCATAAATTAATTGACAAACGCTGAAGGAACGTTGGGCTTTTATTCATTGGCAATGTTGAATCAATGTTGGAAAAACTTTGTGCTGACCTTGTCTCTGGCTGTGAGGAAGCGAGGGTCGTCCTGAAAGGCATCTTTCACCAGCTTACTGAAGCGGTTGAACAGGGTGAGAAGCTGCTCCACGTACTTCTCAGAGTCCTACACACACACGGATGCATGCACACACAGAAAAATACAAAATCAATGGAATGTTCCTGTCACCTTCTTTCAGTAAATACTATACAAAAGTAATATGCATGTATTTGACATTTCTGTTAGAGTAACATATCTGTGCATGTGTGCGTATGTGTGAGCATGTGTGAGTGAGCATGAGTGTGTGTGAGAAGCTTGTGTGTGTGTGTAGCACTCACCGAAGTGATGGTCTCGGCGGAGGCCACCATGTCGGCCAGCCCAGCAGACATGATGTGGTCCTCTAAGTCCTTCAGCATGGGCTCGATGCCACTAGGCACCTTGTCCATCAGAGAGAACATGAGATGGAGCTCTACAAGGAGGAGGAAAGCTACAGTCAAACACTGTCCATGGTAAGCTACTGCGGCTAGTGTCTATAGATTATTGTGATCTACTTCTAGATTATAGTATAGAACAAGGGGTATGCAGCAGCACTTGATGGCCAGATTTGAATAACCCGTATTTAGAGGTTGGTTTCCATTGACCGATTCTCCAGTCACCATGCTTTTTAGTTCAGGACTAGGCTTAATCTGGGTCCAGAAAACCGGCCCAACTTTACAGTCAAAGGTCTATTTCTATATCTTACTGCTATACACCAAATAAACAGACGCTCCACAAAGACACATATTGGTTAATACTGACACATACAGTGGGGGAAAAAAAGTATTTAGTCAGCCACCAATTGTGCAAGTTCTCCCACTTAAAAAGATGAGAGAGGCCTGTAATTTTCATCATAGGTACACGTCAACTATGACAGACAAATTGAGAAAAGAATTTCTCCAGAAAATCATATTGTAGGATTTTTAATGAATTTATTTGCAAATGATGGTGGAAAATAAGTATTTGGTCACCTACAAACAAGCAAGATTTCTGGCTCTCACAGACCTGTAACTTCTTCTTTAAGAGGCTCCTCTGTCCTCCACTCGTTACCTGTATTAATGGCACCTGTTTGAACTTGTTATCAGTATAAAAGACACCTGTCCACAACCTCAAACAGTCACACTCCAAACTCCACTATGGCCAAGACCAAAGAGCTGTCAAAGGACACCAGAAACAAAATTGTAGACCTGCACCAGGCTGGGAAGACTGAATCTGCAATAGGTAAGCAGCTTGGTTTGAAGAAATCAACTGTGGGAGCAATTATTAGGAAATGGAAGACATACAAGACCACTGATAATCTCCCTCGATCTGGGGCTCCACGCAAGATCTCACCCTGTGGGGTCAAAATGATCACAAGAACGGTGAGCAAAAATCCCAGAACCACACGGGGGGACCTAGTGAATGACCTGCAGAGAGCTGGGACCAAAGTAACAAAGCCTACCATCAGTAACACACTACGCCGCCAGGGACTCAAATCCTGCAGTGCCAGACGTGTCCCCCTGCTTAAGCCAGTACATGTCCAGGCCCGTCTGAAGTTTGCTAGAGTGCATTTGGATGATCCAGAAGAGGATTGGGAGAATGTCATATGGTCAGATGAAACCAAAATATAACTTTTTGGTAAAAACTCAACTCGTCGTGTTTGGAGGACAAAGAATGCTGAGTTGCATCCAAAGAACACCATACCTACTGTGAAGCATGGGGTTGGAAACATCATGCTTTGGGGCTGTTTTTCTGCAAAGGGACCAGGACGACTGATCCGTGTAAAGGAAAGAATGAATGGGGCCATGTCTCGTGAGAATTTGAGTGAAAACCTCCTTCCATCAGCAAGGGCATTGAAGATGAAACGTGGCTGGGTCTTTCAGCATGACAATGATCCCAAACACACCGCCCGGGCAACGGAGGAGTGGCTTCGTAAGAAGCATTTCAAGGTCCTGGAGTGGCATAGCCAGTCTTCAGATCTCAACCCCATAGAAAATCTTTGGAGGGAGTTGAAAGTCCGTGTTGCCCAGCGACAGCCCCAAAACATCACTGCTCTAGAGGAGATCTGCATGGAGGAATGGGCCAAAATACCAGCAACAGTGTGTGAAAACCTTGTGAAGACTTACAGAAAACGTTTGACCTGTGTCATTTCCATCAAAGGGTATATAACAAAGTATTGAAGAACTTTTGTTATTGACCAAATACTTATTTTCCACCATAAGTTGCAAATAAATTCATTAAAAATCCTACAATGTGATTTTCTGGATATTTTTTCAGTTTCTCATTTTGTCTGTCACAGTTGACGTGTACCTATGATGAAAATTACAGGCCTCTCTCATCTTTTTAAGTGGGAGAACTTGCACAATTGGTGGTTGACTAAATACTTTTTTTCCCCACTGTAAGTAGGTAGACTCCTGGTTAAAACTATCAGGACACAAACAATACATGGTGGGTTTGTGGTCAGACACTGATGTTTAGGGGGTGATGTTGACAACATGTTGACTGACACACACGGAATGGGCAAAGGCAGCGGTTGGTTGGTTGGTTGGTTGACGTGGACAAATTGAAACAGGAAGTGGAGTGGAGGAGGCGAGGTCATTTCCTGGTTTGCAAACCTGAGCTGGCAGAGCCTTTGGTGCCGGGAACGCTCCGGCCGTACTCACTCTCTGTCTCGTTTCGCTTGATCATGCCTGGACACTCGGCCAAGATGGTCTCCTTGAAGGACGTTACCAGGGCGTTCACGCAACACTCCATCAGCTGAGGGGGGGAAACAGAAAACCATGGGTTGCTCATCTCTCACACAAATCATATTTCAAAATTCTAAGTGATTTGAGGCCTTTTTTTTATATCAGCAGTTGTCACAAAGTGGATTTACAGTAACCCGGCCTAGAACAAAGAGCAAGCAGAAGCACAATGGCAAGAAAAACCGAGAGAGGAAGAAACCTAGAGGGAAACCAGGCTCAATCATATCAATAGAAGGGTCGTTCCACATATAGATTACATTTTGCGTCCCTTTGATATTTGAAGTAGAATTTGTGCACCAATATTGAATTTTAACCCCTAGTCGATGGACGTACCCGTGTCAATCTTATTAGCATAATTTAAAGAATCCCCATCAAAATCAGTCCATTTAAGCTAGAGATGTTTTTTGCATGGGCTACGTCTCAATCCATCGCATTCGCCGATGTCGGCCTTCCACACCTGCTGTGGAAGGTGGCAGAGCTACAACAGTGTTTGTCAAACCAGGAGACATTCGGGAGAAGAAAAAAAATCTACAAAATAAATAAAAAACGACTTCTCACGGAAACATCTGTAGCGTCCGAACGGTTTAGGCTACAAACTAATATGAAAAACATGAGACTCTCACGAACCAGATGGTGTTCTCCGTTTAGCTCTACGACCACAACAAGTGTCACGGGACTCGTCTGAAGGTAACCCGGTACCGGGTAGAAAAATGAATGGAAGTGAATAGGCCATTTCCGCATCAAAGGTATACGGGTCACTCCCCCAAAACATGTTTCCTTTTACTGTTTTTCCATGTATGAATCTTAAATTCAATGTGTTTCTATGGGCTAATAGCAGAAAGGCCAAATTCAATGTTTAATCAAATGTTTTTATATATCTATCTACAGGGGTCCTAAAAATCCTAATCAAATAGCTAAATTATCCTTGGTATGACCATCCTGGGCCCTTAGATTGTAGTGGGTGAATTTTAAAAGCCTGATATATTAAAATGAAGTGCCCCGTAATATAGACCGCATGGATAATTAAATTGATCAAATGTTTTATATTAATAAAGACTTTCTAAAAGGGCCAGAAATCTGCATTTTGACATCCCTCGTCATGATTAACGCACTTCTATAAAGATTTTAACCCACTTAACCCCAAAACGTTTTCAACATCATTGCAACGCGAAGGCTCCCCCACTTTAAAAGACAGACCGTACTACAGCCCATAGTATTCACACACAGTCATTCTGAAGATTAATATATATTTCATGTGATCAGTGATTCATTTACGTCTGTCCCTCATTTTAAGGTCAACCCTGTTACGTGAACTGAACTCTCGTTTAATATATGTATTGATTTATTTTAAGAAGCATTGAACATATAATACACCAATCATAGTGTAAAAGCACTACTCTACTCTTTTTGGCCATTGCCTGGTGTTTTGTGGTGGAAAAACTGAGCGAGTTGAGCATTAAAACACATCAACCCTGTTACCCAGATAGGCTAGAAATGTTAACAATTAAAACATTTTTGTGAAGCTTGAATTCAATTGCCCCTCCCAATAACACGCTTCCATTCCCCCTGCCACAAGGGTAATTATGGTTGATTTAAGATGAAAACCTTAACCCTGTTACTTTAATGGCACTTTCTTAGCTTTTTTTTTTTTTTTTTTACCCTCTTGAGATGGGAAAAAATGTTTTAATGAAGTTGAACCTTTTTTGTTTTATATATTTACCAACTTAAACAAAATGTGCTTTATTCGTGTAATGACCCATCAGTAAAAACGGTATAAACAGTCATATGGTTGCAGTAGCACCTCAGTTTCAAAACATTTCGTGCTCTAATGAATATGCCCCTGCTCTGAATGTGAAAGCTCCCCCACTTTAAAGACAGACCCTACTACAGCCCATAATATTCACATACACAGGTGGGGATATACAGTGAGGGAAAAAAAAGTATTTGATCCCCTGCTGATTTCGTACATTTACCCACTGACAAAGAGATGATCAGTCTATAATTTTAATGGTAGGTTTATTTGAACAGTGAGAGACAGAATAACAAAAAAAAAATCCAGAAAAACGCATGTCAAAAATGTTATAAATTGATTTGCATTTTAATGAGGGAAATAAGTATTTGACCCCTCTGCAAAACATGACTTAGTACTTGGTGGCAAAATCCTTGTTGGCAATCACAGAGGTCAGACGTTTCTTGTAGTTGGCCACCAGGTTTGCACACATCTCAGGAGGGATTTTGTCCCAATCCTCTTTGCAGATCTTCTCCAAGTCATTAAGGTTACGAGGCTGACGTTTGGCAACTCAAACCTTCAGCTCCCTCCACAGACTTTATATGGGATTAAGGTCTGGAGACTGGCTAGGCCACTCCAGGACCTTAATGTGCTTCTTCTTGAGCTACTCCTTTGTTGCCTTGGCCGTGTGTTTTGGGTCATTGTCATGCTGGAATACCCATCCACGACCCATTTTCAATGCCCTGGCTGAGGGAAGGAGGTTCTCACCCAAAATTTGACGGTACATGGCCCCGTCCATCGTCCCTTTGATGCTGTGAAGTTGTCCTGTCCCCTTAGCAGAAAAACACCCCCAAAGCATAATGTTTCCACCTCCTTGTTTGACGGTGGGGATGGTGTTCTTGGGGTCATAGGCAGCATTCCTCCTCCTCCAAACACGGCGAGTTGAGTTGATGCCAAAGAGCTCGATTCTGGTCTCTTCTGACCACAACACTTTCACCCAGTTCTCCTCTGAATCATTCAGATGTTCATTGGCAAACTTCAGACGGGCCTTTATATGTGCTTTCTTGAGCAGGGGGACCTTGCAGGCGCTGCAGGATTTCAGTCCTTCATGGCGTAGTGTGTTACCAATTGTTTTCTTGGTGACTATGGTCCCAGCTGCCTTGAGATCATTGACAAGATCTTCCCGTGTAGTTCTGGGCTGATTCCTCACCGTTCTCATGATCATTGCAACTCCACGAGGTGAGATCTTGCATGGAGCCCCAGGCCGAGGGAGATTGACAGTTCTTTTGTGTTTCTTCCATTTGCGAATAATCACACCAACTGTTGTCACCTTCTCACCAAGCTGCTTGGCGATGGTCTTGTAGCCCATTCCAGCCTTGTGTAGGTCTACATTCTTGTCCCTGACATCCTTGGAGAGCTCTTTGGTCTTGGCCATGGTGGAGTTTGGAATCTGATTGATTGATTGCTTCTGTGGACAGGTGTCTTTTATACAGGTAACAAGCTGAGATTAGGAGCACTCCCTTTAAGAGTATGCTCCTAATCTCAGCTCATTACCTGTATAAAAGACACCTGGGAGCCAGAAATCTTTCTGATTGAGAGGGGGTCAAATACTTATTTCCATCATTAAAATGCAAATCAATTTATAACATTTTTGACATGCATTTTTCTGGATTATTTTGTTGTTATTCTGTCTCTCACTGTTCAAATAAACCTACCATTAAAATTATAGACTGATTATTTCTTTGTCAGTGGGCAAACGTACAAAATCAGCAGGGGATCAAATACTTTTTTCCCCTCACTGTAGTATACTCACTGCTTGTACAGAGTTACATTCACGTCTCGTCTCCAAATAGCGCAACGCCCGTTTCTCCTCCTCTCTCAACTTGGCGTCTGCCTGTTAGAACACACAGAGACACGCACGTTGGTTCCACCTCAGATGGATAGCCTAGATAACAGACAGTCTAGAACAGGGTTCTTCAATTCCGGTCCTGGAGGGCCGAAACACTTCTGTTTTCTATTTCTACCTGGTAGTTAATTGCACTCACCTGGTGTCCCAGGTCTGAATTAGCCCCTGATTAGAAGAAGAGGATGAAAAACAGAGGTGTTTCGGCCCTCCAGGACCGGAATTGAAGAACCCTGGTCTAGAACCTGGGGCAAGTTGCTGAGAAATAGAGTTGTAAAATTCCAGTAACTTTCTCAAAATTCTCAGGTTTTCCAGAAATCCCAGTTGGAGGATTGCTGAATTTCCTGCTTATTCAAGCCAGATCCCAAATAATATTTTGTAACCCAACTGAGAAATCACAAGGGAACTGCAGAAACAGTACTTGTCCATTACCGATTGTTTTCGACCGCTGTAATCACGGAATTCCAAAACAACCCCTAGGCACTCATGTAGACCTGAAAGGACCGGATAAGTTTAAGCAGTGTGGTCATTGCTTCACCTTGCCTTCGGATAGGCTGGATGGGATTTGCACCATATGGCTTACACCAATTGTTTCAAATCTACATGAGCACCTGAGGGGTATGGACTAGGCACGTCCATTTGGAATTCAGCTTATAACTCGATGTGTGGTGTATGACCAAGGGTCCTTTTTAGGGTTGCAAAATTACAGTACGTTTACAAAACTTCCCAGGTTTTCCAGAAATCCCAGTTGGAATATTCCTGGAAAAAGGAGGGAATAAGCAGGAAGCACAGGAGTCCTCCAACTACAATTTCTAGAAAACCACCTGGGAATTTTGGAAAAGTTCCTAGTCCTACTCACGTATTTCATGTAGTTCTGGACTCCGTTCTGCTGCAGGTAGGAGGGGGCCTGTGTTCTGTAGAATCTTTCGGTGGAGTCCATGTAGGCCTTCTCAAAGTTATCTCTGTAGATCTGCAACTTGTCGTCTGGGTTTGAGCACAGGTTCACTGCAGAGGGAAGACAGGGAGGGAAGTCCCCAGGGGTCCAAGTTCATTAACATGCAACGTTTTAGAAATTAGCATTTCTTAAGGGATGAGTCCAATTAGTCCCTTCCTGTTTTGGTAGGTTTTCTTCAGTTTTCTGCGATATGAACACTACCCAGGAGAATTTCAGGCATCTTTGTGGTGTGGAGTTAAGAGTAGATTTTTCTCATTCACACTACATAGCCGAATTCTAAAATTGTAGTACCTCACATTTTCACGTACATCCTGCATTGATGTCTTTAGGGGCTTCACACCAAAATTCACATTAAAGATTACTCCAATTTGGCACAGAGATTTGGTAAATCAATCCATTGGTATGGTATACATACACCAAAGATATGGCTCGTGTTCATTAGGCACCATTCTCTGACAGCTAAAGGAGACAGTAATGTTTTGCTCACCGTAGGACTCCCTGACGCCGATGACCAGCTGAGAGTCGAAGGCCTCCCCCAGGCGCTCGGCGTGCACCAGCTTCATGGCGCTGTCCTGCAGCCTGTTCTTGATGTTGGAGAAGATGGACTCGTTCCACGTGTCCAGCATGAGCTGAGGGCATAGAAAATGAAGATTAGAAGAACATTACCTTGTCCATATATCCCCAAAAAATTCAATTTATCTTTTTGCTTAATCTAGTGCCTTGCTCAAGGGTACAACAGCAGGCGATGACATGATTTGACAACAGCATCCCTCCGGTTGCTGGTTCACACACCGACATTTTGGCCCCCTCAATCTCGGGATTTGAACTGACAATCCTCCGGATGCTACCTAGTCTCTCTACATTCTACACCCCTTGCCACCCCATAGCTACAAGGTAATAGAAGTAACAGTAAAAGGAGATACAGTATATGGATACATGAGCAGGGATAGACGGAATCTATAGGCGGCAACATTTCCTCATGCCAACCGGAAATTCTCTTATATCATTACAAATACTGCTGCTGCCCTGTTAGCATGTGATCATCTGTCACATTCCCCTCCCCACTCCCATGTATTCCTCCCTATCTCCTCACCTTCCGTACGATGCTGTCCTCTACGTTAGACTTCTTGTTGCTGCCCTGTTTGCCCATGAGCGTGATCTCCAGCTGGCAGAAGGGTTTGGGAAGGATGTCGCACTGCGTGAAGAACTTCCTCCACTCCACGATGTAGGCCTTCAGCAGTGCCGTGTCGTCCTGGTGACTCAACACCCGCTGTGGGGGAGAGCGCAGGTCCCTGTTATGGACTTTATGCCGTTGGAAAAACTGGGGGTAATAGACAGTCTGCTTGGTTACTCAACACATGTAGTAGGGGGAGAGAGCAGTTGAGGGCATTGTTATGGATTATATAGCATTGAAAATATTGGTTCTCAGGGGTAGGCTAGTAGATTGCGTTGTTACTCGGTAGCCTACTGGCACAGCTAGCTTGATAGCTAGCTAGCTAGCATTAGTGGTACTCAGTGAGGGAATAGCACAGTCCATTCAATGGTAGTGAGACCTAGCAGGCCTACCTACCGCTTGTGCTTGCTTGATGAAGTCTAAGATGTCCGCCTTCAGGGCCTGGTGAATCTTGGCCGGCCCCTTGTCATCCCATAGGCATACTGCATGGACATCTCTATGGAAACCAAGAGATCGGATGAGGGGATTGGAGGAATGGGGAGGAGGGATATGTGGTTCAATCCATCTGTCAGTCTAACAGCTGAGACAGGCGTTAATGGAAAACACCTGGAATTAACAGAATGACAGCCTTTTCTCTTGGGGTATAGTCTATTAAGGGATGCGAAACGTTCTGAATGTTGAAGATAGAAAAATAATGGATAGAGCTGACACCACAATTCTTTAATATATCTGACAGTAAGGCAATCTGTTCTAAACCATACATTTTTATTTGAACGTTTTGCAACAGGCTCTTGGGTCATATTCACTAGGAAACAAACGGAAGCGAACTGCCTGGACTTGTCTAATAAGAAACGCTTGTTTACAATATCCATTGCAAAACGTGGTGTGCACTAATGAATACAATATCTGTATGACTGAGAGCACATGGACATGGACTGAGTGGCCATACTCACGAAAAGAGGTCGAACCACTGCTGCTTGGTGACTGACTCCTGACGGAGCAGCTTCAGGACGATAGGACGCATTAAATCCCACTTATCCTCAAACTGGAGGGAGCCTTTATTCTGGGTGAGGATGAGAAGGGTAGAAGTGTCACCTCTGGCTATAGGCTTCCTAGAAGTTATGACAACAACACCAGGGTGAACCTCAATTGTATTTACTTGATCCTCACATCTTCTGTCCTTGCCTCCTTCTCAAAACGCATTTGAGCAGAACATCAGAGGGGAAGAACCTCAGATGTTCTGCTCCAATGTGCTTTGAGAAGGGAGGATGTGAGAAATCAAGGACATACAATTGATATCCCAGTGGTTGCTGAATGTTTAGACACTAGGCAAGTGGGCCTATTTGAACATTAGCAGCAACACAACAGCAGTTAGACAAACCTGGTGGTTAGACAAGCCATGGCAACAGTTATCAACCGACTATCTGAAAGGTGCTTCAACCTGATTTACTAGCATCTGTTTTTCCAGATGCATAACTACATCCAACTACAGTAGGCTATCTTATGTGAGGGAGTGTTGTACGTAGTAGTAGACATGACTAGTTATATGTCCTCATCAAATATGCCTACATTGTATCACATCAGTAAAAAAACAATATTGCGCCAGTGTGTCCTGATTGCGATAAATAATGTTAGCTAGGTAGCTATCTGAATGTTGCTGGCAAGTAGCTTTAGCCTACCTTTGGTGGCTCGAAAATCAAATCAGTTAGTATTTCAGTGTTTTATCAGACATAGCTGCAGTACTGTAGCTAGCTAGCTAGTTACACTGATAGTAGAGCTAACGTTAACGCTAGCGGAAAAAAACGGGCAGACACTAAGTTAACTTAGCTAGTTACTGTAACAAGCCATCTATGTCGGCTGCCTAGCTAGCTAGCAGCTAACTAATGTGTGTTTTCATGAAAAATACGATCGTTCGTGATTAACGTTAGTTAATGAGTTACTTAACAACTCAAAGTCAACGATAGTCATGCAAAGTTAAATTATAGTGCTAGCTAACTGTTATGTAGCCAGCTATGTGTGTGTGTGTGTGTGTGTGTGTACTACTGGTGGTGCAGCTAGCTAGCACCAGGCTAACGAACGTCAGTGAGTAAATAGCAGTCCTTTCATTGCTAACAAGGCAAACAACAGGTCTTCATATGACCTATATTGCAAGGCCGTCTTCAGGTATGTGCGTTTAGCAATGTAGAGTAACATATCCTCAACTATGCAACAAACACTGATTAATGTAACGTTAATCAAATGTATTGAATTGAGGTCCCTCCTACCTTTAGCAAATTAGACGTCGCCATGTTCAGCATTGTGAACCTGAACTTACTCCCTCGAACAATGTCGCGATATTTACGGGGTTGTAGTTACTAAGAGGGTTTTAACAAAATCTGGAGAAAAACATGCACGCTACCTGATCGCTTATTCCAGATGTTTTATTTTTAAATTTTAGCTAGACTAAACCAAATCCATATGTGCAATTAAAATGAAAGTTGAAATAGTCTAACAATGATTAGGTATACTTATCAAAAAAGAATGTCACCCACTAAAAACGATGAAACACTGGAAAATAATTAATAATATATTGTGTGCAGTGAAATGTGTGTAAACATTCATTAAAACATTTATTTAAAAAATTCTCAAAAAATCTACTGGTGGTCTCCCCCAGTGCGCTGCGTCCGACGAAATGTTACTATTTTGGAGTCCTAGCCTCGCGCGCACTGACGCGTTCGAAAAAGCCTACCAAGTTTACCTTTGGGCAAACAGGAAAAATACAACAGGCTACCGCAGGTAAGGCTCTTTACTATGCTAAGCGAGGGTTACGGTATCATACCTAAAAGGGCATGAACGTTTATAAATATATGTTTTTTACCTTGAGAAATATGCTCAGTTCAAAAGTATGACAGAGTGTCAAAGTGTCTTAGTTGTTCAGGCCTATGCCAATAACTCATAAATATACTTGCCATTTGGTTTCTTAATGTTATAGGCTAATGGAAAAGCAGTGATGCAATTCATCTGTAGGTCTACAGTATATCGCATGATAATTAAACTTCCATCAATTCTTAATTATCAAATATCCACTTTCTGGAGCATTCACTCATAAGGACGATAGCCTACAGTCTATATATATATATATATATATATATATATATATATATATATATATATATATATATATATTATACAGTATAAGGGGAATGTATCTTATTAACTTGCTGTAATAACATGCACTGCGTAACTGTTAAACGCTATGTCTAGCCTACTGCTCACATAGTGGGCTAAATGTCAACAGTGGGTTAAACATCATGCAACAGGCGCACAGAACTGCAGGGGAGTGAAATCCTACACAAGACAAAGTTTTGAATGCTTCAAGGACGGCAAGATATCAGTTTCTCCACAATAACTTAGGCGTTGTTATCATTCCACCATGGAATATTATTTTGTTTATATATGGCCGTCTTTCTCAGGCAAGGGCAGGTCCGAACTCAGAACATCCCAGTCTCCTAAATGAGATCCTCAAACTACTTTTTTCCTCAAGTTAAAACGTTATTTATTAACATTTTGTATCAGTTCTTATGTCTCACATATTTGATGGATGTTGCAGTCTAACTGTCATGGGTATTGTCTAAACTCTAAATATTACAACATTCGGGTGGTGATGATGAGGCGCTGAAGTGCCTTATCAAGTATCAAAACTGTCTGCATCGTTCCACTGTTGCCCGAAAGGAGTCCCTTCAGCACCACACCGCAGTTTGGTTGCCAGCGCACGTGACACGCCAGCCTCTTGGCCAATCTCAGAACAGGAGGCGGTCCTTTGGTCTTGTGGTAAAACAGGGTTAGATTGATCCATTGCTCTACTGATGCTTTTGGCCACGAGAATTATGGTATGTCTTTTGAGCTGTCGATTGAACCGTAACTTCAAATGAACGGCGATGAGAGTTTAACCTATGCAGGTAGATTAACTACCGTATTCTATTTAATTTGTCTATTTAATTTATTGTCTAGATATTTAGTATGTGGCGCGCGTGACAATACCTCGCTAGATTTGATCGTATGGTGTTACACATCATATGATTGTCATTTTGTATCATTGTAGTCACATTACATTTGTAGCCTAAAATGTTGTAGCAGTGGCTACATTTCTGAGGTCAGTTTGAGGGCATGTCGGCAGAAAGCCTTAGTAGATTGTGTGTTCTCCGTATCCTACTTCATTTGGCCACGTGTTTTAATAGTATTCTACTTCATTTGGCCACGTGTTTTAATAGGAAGGTGTGACCGTAGCTAGGTTTCCATCCAATTTGCAACAGATTTTCATGTGGATGTTCTAAAATCTGCACAAAACAATATGCACATTTTCCCACCAGATATGTTTCCATCAAACGGACTTTTACGGATAAAAGGATGTGCGTGATGACGTAGTACACATACAAATAACTTTTGCCATTACATTTCCATGTACCGAATAAAAAGTTAAATGGGTTTCCATCGCATTTTCAACTTTACTGATGGTTTTGTCCACCACCCTGTGAAGTTCATCAATTTATTTCATCTGTAGCCTAATAAACTGCATGTTTTCCCGGGCCGTAGTGGAGGACCACACAACATATCGCGTGACTAAATTTACTTCGATATGATCGTTATAATATCCATATTTGCGCATAAAGGCGTTTCCACCGACATTTCTTGAAGATTACATTTTACCGAAAAGAACCCACCACGTCGAACGAACAAATTGTCTGTTGGCATGTATACAATTTTACCGGCATTTCATGTTTCCATCAGCCCGATCGTGACTTTTTTCATGCTTCAGGTAATTCATTCGCATGAAATGGTTGGATGGAAACGTGGTCAACACATTTTGACAGGACGTTTAGGAATGTTTCAAATTTTGACAGCTCGTTGGGTAAAAATCCTATGTTTGCTGTTTTTAGTTTAATTAAATGTTTCTCCTCTACAAAGGAGCAATTGCACACCATGCACAATAGCATTTGTGTTGTTGCCGTCCACAAATCTATATGTTTTCCATTTATAAAATGCATTCAAATCAGATTTCAAAATCTGATTTGGGCTATTGAAACCAGCGAGTTCCACTCACTTTGTCACACAACCAGGGGCTACTGTATGAAATGTCTTCCTTGATTAAAAACATTGCTTAAAGGGCTGGGAATAGTTGAGAGCAGTAGGCTATAAAAGTGTAGGCCTAATCTACTTTTCAAAAACTACTAATCTGACATGAAAAAGATTGACACATAATTAGCAGTGTTACCTTCCTTGGAGTGCAGAGTGCCTAGTTGAGCACCATATAATGAGGCCTAAATTCCAGGGGAGATTACTGCACACTGATTGTCTGGGTCTTTGATGCAGACATTGTTAATAAAACTGTGTTCAGTAGTAATTATGAACCTGATCATTATTCTTGGCTCCTCTCTCTCTGTTCCCCCCCTCTCTTTCCCATCTCTCTCTCCTTCCCTCTATATCTCTGTTTCACCTCCCCCTCTCTGTCCTGGTGGGGTTCTCAGGGATACATCAGAAGGAAATGGAGGGTTCTGAGCCTGCAGAGAGCTCTGACTGTGGACGTGGAAGGAGCTGTTGGACGGCCTGTGCCAGGCTGCGCAGCTACGAGCTGAAGGGCGTCTTCACGTGGTGAGCACAAAAAGATAAACAACGCACAGACAATGCAGACACAACAGACAACACACAGACACAAAACTGGGCTGGACATATATTATTCTACATACATTTAAGTGATTTATTGATTGATGTTAACATGACCTTGGCAGGCGTCTACTGAAGACCATCGCCATGGGCCAGGCCCTGTCCATGCTGATTTGCGGCACGGCAGTCAGCTGCCAGTACCTGGCGGAAGCGGGTGTGGAGACGCCCATGCTCCAGAGCTTCCTCAACTACGTCCTGCTGCTGCTCACCTACACTGCCTCGCTCAGCCTCAGAAAAGGTCAGAGGCCGCCGCCCTGAATTGTACACACGCTAATGCTAAACAGAGTACATTGACTTACATTTGTTTTTTGTCAGAAAATGCTAATATTAGTGAGAATCATCACCTTCCTCATTATTTGCAGGGGCCTTGTTGGAATATTTTAGAACTGCATCCTTCCTACAGTTGATTCCTTGAGGATATCATATTTTATACATCATTTGAAAGGTGAAAGCAATGTTACGCCACCCATTACTTTCACCAATCCAACCAATTAAGATCAGTGATTACTTCAAGGAAGGGAGGATGGAACGAAGGATACAGGATGGAAGTATTCAAACAGGCCCTGGTCTGCCTGCCCATACACTAGCAGTAAAGTTTGTGAAGCCACACAGTTCCGAATCTAATTGGTGATATTTAGGAATCCTACCTACTGGGATAGAAAGAGTGTTTCATCAGGATTATTATATGGGTTGTGTTTATTACGGCACGCAAGGGAAATGAAAATGAGTGTTTTTAAGTCCTGGTAGTCTTTTCATGTTTCAGACCGTTTTTGTCCGTTTGGTGCCTAATGAACAGAGACTAAAACAACAGTGCTGCTAACTCATAAAATATGACGTGTTTTGTCTCACTCTGGATTCTCGCTTTGCTGTTTCAACAGGTGATGGGAATATATTACAGATTTTAAAAACAAAATGGTGGCGGTATTTACTGATGGGACTGACGGACGTGGAGGCAAACTACACAGTGGTGAAGGCATACCAGTTTACAACGTTGACCAGCATACAGGTAAGAAATTACTGATATCATTGCATACTGTGTTATTTGGGTGAAGAATGACTCACTAATGGATGTATCTAGGACCTAGGTGATACATTGAGTCACCTGTTTTTCCAGGTGTGCAACAAATGAATATAAAAGTGCCTTTAGGGCTGGGAGGTATACCGTATTTTACAATGTACCCCAGTGGAGGCTGGTGGGGGGAGCTATAGGAGGACAGGCTCATTGTAATGGCTGGAATGGAATAAATGGAAAGGGATCAAACATGGAAAGCACACGTTCAACTAATTCCATTCCAGCCATTACAATGAGCCCGTCCTCCTATAGCTCCTCCCACCAGACTCCACTGATGTACCGATATTGATGCACGGACCGGTTTTGGGTTTTTACTTTACCTTCTATAACGGTATTTTAATGTTTGGTTTGTTAAATGTGATATGCTGTGTGTAACCTCCATTTTTATAGTTTACATGCTACTTGAGTCATCCCTCTCCGCTCTCTCTCTCCATGCCGCTTTCCATACAGACCTAGCCCCACCCCCTGTCACTTATGGAGCGCATTTTGTTGTTGCGTGACCATGGGAAACTTGCGTTCAGTCAACAATATTGTTTCCACTTTGTTTCTTAATAATTACACTATTAGTTTGTTTCTTACATCTGCAAACAGCTTGCTAATTGGCTTTTCTTAGTAAGTTTTAGCTAAGTCGTGTTAGCCGCTAATGCTAATCGCTGGTTAGTTGGCTAGCTAGCTAGCTATTAAATGTACTGAGTCAGAGCAAACATACCTAGCTAATATAACCTGATACCACTGATGGTGTAGGCCTAAGTCAGCATGTTTGTGCAACAGTATCTTCTAAATCAGAGGAATAGGCTAAGCATGAATATGTTGGCTACGTGAAGAAACATTTCATGTAGCCTAAGATTGTAGGGTCCCCTAGGAAACACTGACCGACACTTTGGTTCCTACCCTGTCACAATAACTCCTCCCTGGCATTTTCATTCGTTGACATGTCAAACAACACTGAATTCAAAGTGCCCACTATTATTTATTCTAAACTATAGAATTAGAATAAACATATTTCCAAGATTCCAACAGTTCACCCAAGTGTTTTGATCTAAATCGCAAGTCAAATTGCAATTGCAACATTTGGTTAAAAATAAGGCCTAGATTTTTTTCCCATATCCTGCAGCCCTACACGGCTGTGTGGAAATTATCTAAGATGAGTGCAGGAAATGTAGAAATTGTATGAAAATGCAGGAAGTTGAATTGAACAGTATAAAACAATCAGAATGGAGAAAGACCCATTGAAATCACTTAGAATGTATGTGTTGCCACCCTAGGGTCATGCATTACTCATAAAGCAAATGTAGAAGTTTTATTATTCAAAACCATCATACCGTCAAATTAGAAAAATATAGTGATATCTCCCAGCCCTAAGTGCCTTTCAGTTGCCTTATATGCAATCAGCATTTTACACTTGAAAAATAATATATGTGGTTCTGGTTGCAGCTGCTGGACTGCTTTGTGATCCCGGTGCTGATGGTGCTCTCCTGGTTCTTCCTGAAGACGCGCTACCGCCTGGTGCACTTTGTGGCTGTTGCCGTTTGTCTGCTGGGGGTGGGTGCCATGGTGGGGGCTGACCTACTGGCTGGGAGAAACCAGGGATCCAGTAAGAACACTACTCGTGATATTTAAGCAATAAGGCCTGAGGAGATTTGGTATATGTCCAATATACCACGGCTAAGGGCTGTTCTTATGGACAACGCAATGCGGAGTGCCTGGATACAGCCCCTTAGCCGTGGTATATTGGTCATATACCAATAAGGCCCTAGGAGGTGTGGTATATGACCAATATACCACAACTAAGGAACTGTATCCAGGCACTCCGTGTTGCGTCGTGATTAAGAACAGCCCTTAGCCGTGGTATATTGGACATATACCACACCCCCTCGGGCCTTATTGCTTTATTTATACCACGGCTTTCAGCCAATCATCCAGGACCCAAACTACCTGCTTTATAAGTAAGGGATAATGGACGACGCAGCGGGATGAGGCGAAGCCGAGATCATTTTTCCAAGGTAATGTACAGAACTGAGGCGTTTATCCAGCTTATACCACAGTTGCCAAATAAAACAATACTAAAGTACACATTTACTGGTAGAAATAACATTGGTATTTTCATAAGCGAATTCATACTTTCTCATCTTTTGGTTGCTAGAGACGCAACCCAGTCATTCGTTCGATTAGTTCAATATTTACGGGTCTCTAGCAACCGCCTCGTCACGCTGTGTCATCCATTATTTCCAAGTTATGCCATGGCATTGTTGAATACTTGTTTCTGATCGTCTTGAAGGGCATTTTAGAGCGTGCATTATTACCCTATAACACACGGTATATCAGCATGTTAGAATTCATGGCTATAATTCATTCTTACATGTTCTATGTTTGAGTTGCTTTTGAAAGCGAAAGTCGAATTGGCATTGTTGAATTCGATTTTAATAATAGCAAGCTAGGACTGATGGTTTGGTTAGCTAACTAGCAAGTCTTTGTTTGGTTACCAAGGCAATTACTGTAGCTATCTAGTAAACTTGCTAGCTACTTCAGTGGATGTTGAACACATTTCTACCTGCAAATTAACACATTTCTAGCATCAAATGTGTTTAATTACAGCTGATAAACGCTATAATGACCGATAAACGCCAACCTTCTGTAAAATACGTAAGGGATAATCAACTCGGGGCTCTATGCGTTCTCTGGAATATAATGAATGTCGTGGAAGGTTAGTTCCACGCGTCGTGTAGGGCTTACTTCATTATAAAGGTTGGCGTTTATCGGTCGTCACTAGTTACCACACCCACAAAGTCATAAACCCAGCCTATTTCTACTATTTCTCTTCTTTAAAATCTGATTTTAAACCTAACCTTAACCACACTGCTAACCTTATGCCTAACTCTTAACATTACATTAAGACCAAAAAGCACATTTTTGTTTTCATGAACTTTTAGGATATAGCCATTTTGACTTTGTGGCTGTGGTAACTAGGGAAAACTGCGTTTATCCCTTACATATTATATATTTTATTATTGTCAGGACCTACACAGGAATATATATTATATACACCCTGAGGGGGGAGTGTCTGCTGGGAGTGTGGGCCATGGTGTGGGGGCCGACCTACTGGCTGGGAGACCAGGGATCCAGTGAGAACACTATTTATTGTTAAAACACTTTGGGCCTGTTTTCCAGACACCGATTTAAGTTTATTGTCTTGGACTAAGAAGCACTTTCAATGGGGAATCTCCAATAAATATGCTTTATAGTCTAGGACAAGGCTTTTGTCCACTTCCTTTGATGTAGAAGACATACATTTTTATACTTAGTCAGGCATATCCATAGAGGAATAACAGCTTTAAATGTACCTCAGTGCCTTTTCTTGGGACATAAACAGTTCCATACAGTCTGATCCGGAGAGGCCTTAGGTTTCACTGCACGGGCAAAGAGAAACAGGCATTATTAAACTCTCATCACAAACCCTTAGAGCTGATTCCTCATATTGTGAGCTCTGCAAATTGCTGTAACTAACATGTCAAGGACAGTTTGCCTAAAATAACATTACTGTCTTTTCTCTCTCCTTCTCTCCCACCTTATATTTTATCTCATACTCTCCCTCTTCTCTCTCTCCCTCCCTTCATCCCTCTCTCTTTCCCTCCTTCCCTATCTCCTTCTAGCCAGTGATGTGTTGCTGGGGGATGGTCTGGTGCTGGTGAGTGCTGCACTGTATGCGGTGTCTAATGTTTGTCAGGAGTACACGGTGAAGAACCTGAGCCGTGGGGAGTTCCTGGGTATGATGGGCCTGTTCGGCACCCTGATCAGCGGCATACAGCTGTAAGACACCCCCTCTCCCCTCTCCAGGGTTGAACCGGTTCAAAGACAGTCTTTCCTGCCTTTCTCCCCCTCAGTATTAAAGGGATAGTTCACTTTTAGAAATGTAAGCTTACTTAGCTTTCCTTTAGTTTTAGGCCAAGATTCAATCTGAACGCAGGTTGTCGACAATGCAGCTTTTAAAGGCAATGTTACCGTGTTCACTGAGAATGCATTCACGGTAAACGCTGCAGATGTTGGCTCAATTGGAAATTGTCGCACGATCAGATTGAATCCCGGCACTAGCCTATCTTCAAAAAGCAAACTATCCCTTTAACTTTTTGTTTGGTGCACTACATCAGTAAGTACATATTGTATTTATTATGGTACTTTTCCCCCCACATCATCCAAATATCACATTTTCATCACTTGACCAGTTATTTGAGGTAAAATCTACCCATCAGAATTTGCTGGAAGGTGCTTTGTAAGTCTGTCGACCGACGCAGTTCCTGTTTGCAATCTTACCTTCTGTTGTCCTGTGTTGCAGAGCCATATTGGAAACCAGTGCAGTAGCAGCTATTAAATGGAACTGGAATATTAGTAAGAATTAATTTTCTCCCCATATTTGTTAACCCCCTAATTCAATTGTCAGTCATATACAGTCAGGTCCATAATTATTGGCAACCCTGATAAAGATTAGCAAAAAATACTATAACATAAATAATACAAATCTATATTGTATTATCCCAAAAATGTGGAAATTATATTATTTTATACTAATACAATTGCTCAGAGAAATACATTTTGTTTAACAAGTATACAAAAAATCTCAAAGATGGGGGTAAAGGTTATTGGCACCCCTGTTTTCAATACTCAACCACCCTCCCCTTGCAAAAATAATGACAGACTTTTTCTCAAATGTTTTATGAGATTGGAGAACACATTGGGAAGGATCTTAGACTATTAACATCCCATTGTGCTTAGGGTCATGTATACAATTGCTGGGCAGGCCATTATTTTGGTTACCTTGACTATGCCCCCATCCACAGGGCACGAGTGGTCACTGAATGATTTGATTAGCATGAAAACGATGTATGCCATGGTCGTCTCAGTCACCAGATCTCAACCCAATTGAACACTTATGGGAGAATCTGGAGCAGAGCCTGAGACGGCGTTTTCCTCCACCATCAACAAAACACCAAATGATGGAGTTTCTCGTGGAAGAATGATGTTGCATCCCTCCAATATAGTTGCAGACACTTTTAGAATCTATGCCAAGGTGCATTGAAGCGGTTCTGGCTTGTGGTGGCCCAACGCCCTATTAAGACATTTTATGTTGGTGTTTATTTTTGGCAGTTACCTGTACATGCTCTGTGTAGAGCTCTTTTGCTCTGCAATAGTTTTCCAGAAAGTGCTTTGTTTGAAAACGTCCCCTTGTAGTCCAGTAGAATTCCCCTCTGAGATTCTGGGCCTTGTTCATGAGGGCACATATTGCAAAATGTTTTGAAACGGAAAACAACTATTTGAATTTCTTATTGAAGAAGTCCAGGAAGTACTTCCCCATTTCAATCTGTTTCAAATGTTTTCTCCTCTTTGGTGCTTTACAGGACACAACGTAGCAAAATGCTTTGAAAAGGAAAACCCCAAATAAGCGTTTCATTATTGGACAAGACAAGTCCAGACAGTCCCTCCCCACTTCACTTAGTTTCAGACCATTTTCTTCCATTTGGTGCCTAATGAACACATTTGGTGTTTCCCTCCTCAGTCGTACTGTTTGCGGCCTACACGTTCTGCATGTATGCCCTGTACAGTTTCATGCCCCTGGTGGTCAAGATGACCAGCGCCACGGCGGTCAACCTCTCCCTGCTCACCGCTGACCTCTTCAGCCTCTTCTGTGGCATCTTCCTTTTCCACTTTGTCGTGAGTTAAATAAACTATTTTCCTATGGGTGTGCTCTTGAGCCAGAGGGGATGCCCAAAATTGACAAAAATGTTATCCAGAAATGACCTTATTGGACAGAAAGGGGCCCATGCGCAAAAGCATATATTGTAAGCCTAAGGTGGATGCTGTTGTTTAATGAGAAGGCTTCCATGGTTTGATTAGATAAAAAATGTATTAACATTGATGTATATGAAACATACAGCCAACTCTCAAGCCAATCTTTGAGGTAAATACTAACTTCAATATTGTTTAACTAGCGCCTTCTCACAAATGTGTTACTTCTCACAAATGTGTTACAAATGAGTTATACAGAGAAACTATAGCCACTGATCCAGGGTCTGTGAAATGGATTTGACCTTCTATCAAAACGTCAACCTCTGCCCTACTCTCCACAGTTCTCAGGCCTGTACATTGTGTCGTTCGTGGTGATCACTGTGGGCTTCGTCATGTTCAATGCCGTGCCCACCTACGCGCCCGTGCCCGAGTCGGACTCCGCTGGCGAGGAGTTTGACGACCCTGCTGCCTTTGTTGAGGGAGAAAAAGACCACTTGAAAGACCACCAGAAAGGAGAGACCACCACAGACCTGCTCCAAGAGGGAGTAGAGTGGAGGGGGACAGAAGAGGGGATGGAGACAAGCAACAGGCGTTGTGCAGTGACATACGTTACAGAGGAACACAGCACGAAGATGTAGCCCACTGGACTAGGTTTAAGTTATTCTTTCAACAACTGTACATAAATGGTTGGGTTCTCTGTAGGTGTATAGAAGCCTAGGTGCTGCCAAGTACCCTGGTGCGCCAGACTACATGATATGGCTCATTAGATTGCTTTATTAGGCAAGCTACCATACAACCTCAATATTTTTCTGCTGTTGGGTTGACATTGGTTAAAAAAATGCATTTTATTATATTTTATCAAAGACATGCATTGTGTTCTGCCTCCTTTTTAAACTAATCAGTGGATGGTGTGTTGATTACTATATTTCTCCCCCCATGAAGACAATGTATTTGTGCAAAGCACATTCAAAAAGACAGTTCCTCCAAACAGCATTTATTTGTGCGATTCCAGGCTGCTATAGCCTACTAATACATAGTTGTCACACTGTCTTTTTTGTTATTTCGTTGCAGCAGGTCTTCCGAAAAGTGCTTATAGGTAAAGGAAACATTTGTGTCTTCTAAAAATATGCCTTTGCAGAAGTGTTTTTTTATATATTGATGATAATAAAGTTGTATATTCTCTTGTTTCTGGTTACCTCTGTCATGGCTCTTCTTTTCTATGTGGATGTTGTGTTGTCATTATTGTGCTAGATCCCTCAGTGTCTGTCATATTCAGACAAACATTGAATGGGCAATGCTGCAAAAACAAATTATTGCATTATGGTTACACACATTTCATTAAAATCTTGATTCTTAGTCTTGGTTATGGTTGTCGGGTCAACCACATATTTCCAGTTTATGGAGACGGCCTAGAGAACAAATCAGAATTAATAATAGGCTGTAATTAGAGAGAACGTGCATCATAGACAATTCGAAATCTTAGCTTGGACATTGGAGGGAATGTTACATCAGACAAGTCCATGGTTGCAGACAGTCTGAATAGCTATTTTACAACTATAGCTAATACATTAGTTAGCAAGTTACCTTGTCAATCAGGTTGCTATGGGGAGAGTCATGTCCAGCAGTTTTACTCACAGCAGGGGATTCAAGTAGATGCTTTTTCATTTGAAAAGGTTTCGGAGTCAACTGTACTAAAGAAGCTGAAAGAACTTGACCATTCCAAAGCAACTGGCCTTGATAACATTCCTGCCAGGTTTCTAAGGGATGCAGCGGTAATTATAACCCCCTTTGTAACTCACATTGTAAATCTGTCTATTGAACTAGGGTGTTTTCCCAGTGAACTAAAACTTGCAAGGGTCATTCCTTTATATAAAAAAGGAAATAAGTTAAATCATGGAAACTATCGGCCCGTCTCAATCCTGTGTGTTTTATCGAAGGTCATGGAAACTATCGGCCCGTCTCAATCCTGTGTTTTATCAAAGGTCATGGAAAGGATTATGTTCAAGCAGATTGACAGTTATATTTCTTTACATAACCTATTCTATGAGCTCCAATCTGGCTTTAGGAAATCCCATTCCACCGACACTTGCCTACTAAACTCAGCAAAAAAAAGAAACGTCCCTTTTTCAGGACCCTGTCTTTCAAAGATAATTAGTAGAAATCCAAATAATTTCACAGATCTTCATTGTAAAGGGTTTAAACACCGTTTCCCAAGCTTGTTCAATGAACCATGAACATGCACCTGTGGAACAGTCGTTAAGACACTAACAGCTTACAGACCGTAGGCAAATAAGGTCACAGTTATGAAAACTTAGGACACTAAAGAGGACTTTCTATTTACTCTGAAAAACACCAAAAGAAAGATGCCCCTGCTCATCTGCAAGGAGGCATGAGGACTGCAGATGTGGTCAGGGCAATAAATTGCAATGTCCGTACTGTGAGACGCCTAAGACAGCGCTACAAGGAGACAGGACGGACAGTGGCAGACCACGTGTAACAACACCTGCACAGGATTGGTACATCCGAACGTCACACCTGCGGGGCAGGTACAGGATGGCAACAACAACTGCCAGAGTTACACCAGGAAGGCACAATCCCTCCATCAGTGCTCAGACTGTCCGCAATAGGCTGAGAGAGGCTGGACTGAGGGCTTGTAGGCCTGTTGTAAGGCAACCGGCAACAATGTCGGCCTGTTGTAGGCCTGTTGTAAGGCAACCAGACATCACCGGCAACAATGTCGCCTATGGGCACAAACCCACCGTCGCTGGACCAGACAGGACTGGCAAAAAGTGCTCTTCACTGACGAGTCGCGGTTTTGTTTCACCAGGGGTGATGGTCAGATTCGCGTTTATCGTCGAAGGAATGAGCGTTACACCGAGGCCTGTACACTGGAGCGGGATCGATTTGGAGGTGGAGGGTCCGTCATGGTCTGGGGCGGTGTGTCACAGCATCATCAGACTGAGCTTGTTGTCATTGAAGGCAATCTCAACGCTGTGCGTTACAGGGAAGACATCCTCCTCCCTCATGTGGTACCCTTCCTGCAGGCTCATCCTGACATGACCCTCCAGCATGACAATGCCACCAGCCATACTGCTCGTTCTGTGCGTGATTTCCTGCAAGACAGGAATGTCAGTGTTCTGCCATGGCCAGCGAAGAGCCCGGATCTCAATACCATTGAGCACCTCTGGGACCTGTTGGATCGGAGTGTGAGGGCTAGGGCCATTCCCCCAAGAAATGTCCGGGAACTTGCAGGTGCAAGTTCCCGGAACTTGTTCAGTTTATGTCTCAGTTGTTGAATCTTGTTATGTTCATATTAGGGTTGCACAATATTGGAAATAACTGACACTGCGATATTTTGTTTTTCTGTGATATATATTGCGATATGAAAAAATACAGGATGTATGTATGATCCTCTGGGGAAAATGCAGTTTATTAATGAGGACTTCCATCTGAAAAGTCGCTGTTTGCAAAGTGTATGGTCAGACTTATGTAGGGCTCCGTTGTCCGGCAGGACCACAAGTCCGTTGTTGCTGTATAATATTCCACTTGTGACAGCTCTGTTTCAACTTGTGCCTTGCATTTCTCGTACAACTCTGGGATGGCAACTTGAGAAAAATAGTTGCGTGATGGCATTACATACCGCTTGTCAAGCGACCGGATCATGTTTTTAAAACCCTCTTTGGTAACCGTGTTAATTGGTACCATGTCTTTGGCGACGTGAAATGTTATTGAATCTGTGATTTCTCTCTGCCGTTTGGAACCTTTCTCGTATGGTGTAATACTGGCAAAGGCATCCGAAATAGATTTTTGCCTTGGAGGGCATTGAGATACTTTGCACTCGTCATACGAAGATTTGTGGTGCCGCCTTAAATGATCGACAAATTGGTCGTGTTGCCTCGTGTTGTGGCAACAATTGCAAGGCACTCTCGACAAAGTACCTGTTTTTGGTCAACATCATCCTGTCTGTAGCCGAAATACACTGCTCAAAAAAATAAAGGGAACACTTAAACAACACAATGTAACTCCAAGTCAATCACACTTCTGTGAAATCAAACTGTCCACTTAGGAAGCAACACTGTTTGACAATACATTTCACATGCTGTTGTGCAAATGGAATAGACAACAGGTGGAAATTATAGGCAATTAGCAAGACACCCCCAATAAAGGACTGGTTTTGCAGATGGTGACCACAGACCACTTCTCAGTTCCTATGCTTCCTGGCTGATGTTTTGGTCACTTTTGAATGCTGGCGGTGCTTTCACTCTAGTGGTAGCATGAGACGGAGTCTACAACCCACACAAGTGGCTCAGGTAGTGCAGCTCATCCAGGATGGCACATCAATGCGAGCTGTGGCAAGAAGGTTTGCTGTGTCTGTCAGCGTAGTGTCCAGAGCATGGAGGCGCTACCAGGAGACAGGCCAGTACATCAGGAGACGTGGAGGAGGCCGTAGGAGGGCAACAACCCAGCAGCAGGACTGCTACCTTCGCCTTTGTGCAAGGAGGAGCAGGAGGAGCACTGCCAGAGCCCTGCAAAATGACCTCCAGCAGGCCACAAATGTGCATGTGTCTGCTCAAACGGTCAGAAACAGACTCCATGAGGGTGGTATGAGGGCCCGACGTCCACAGGTGGGGGTTGTGCTTACAGCCCAACACCGTGCAGGACGTTTGGCATTTGCCAGAGAACACCAAGATTGGCAAATTCGCCACTGGCGCCCTGTGCTCTTCACAGATGAAAGCAGGTTCACACTGAGCACATGTGACAGACGTGACAGAGTCTGGAGACGCCGTGGAGAACGTTCTGCTGCCTGCAACATCCTCCAGCATGACAGGTTTGGCGGTGGGTCAGTCATGGTGTGGGGTGGCATTTCTTTGGGGGGCCGCACAGCCCTCCATGTGCTCGCCAGAGGTGGCCTGACTGCCATTAGGTACCGAGATGAGATCCTCAGACCCCTTGTGAGACCATATGCTGGTGCGGTTGGCCCTGGGTTCCTCCTAATGCAAGACAATGCTAGACCTCATGTGGCTGGAGTGTGTCAGCAGTTCCTGCAAGAGGAAGGCATTGATGCTATGGACTGGCCCGCCCGTTCCCCAGACCTGAATCCAATTGAGCACATCTGGGACATCATGTCTCGCTCCATCCACCAACGCCACGTTGCACCACAGACTGTCCAGGAGTTGGCGGATGCTTTAGTCCAGGTCTGGGAGGAGATCCCTCAGGAGACCATCCGCCCCCTCATCAGGAGCATGCCCAGGCGTTGTAGGGAGGTCATACAGGCACGTGGAGGCCACACACACTACTGAGCCTCATTTTGACTTGTTTTAAGGACATTACATCAAAGTTGGATCAGCCTGTAGTGTGGTTTTCCACTTTAATTTTGAGGGTGACTCCAAATCCAGACCTCCATGGGGGTTGATAAATTTGATTTCCATTGATAATTTTTGTGTGATTTTGTTGTCAGCACATTCAACTATGTAAAGATAAAGTATTTAATAAGATTATTTCATTCATTCAGATCTAGGATGTGTTATTTTAGTGTTCGCTTTATTTTTTTGAGCAGTGTATTTCCATATAATTGACGATGCATTTCTTTTTGCAACCAAATTCTCAATTTCTGTCTTTTTTGCCTGTTCCTCGCTCA